ACCTTCCACATTAGACAGATGTTCACCTGCACATCTGCGAATGTGGTATACTGTATCCGCTGTTCCCAATGTTGCCTCCTCTATATCGGGGAAACCAAGTGGAGGCTTGGAGCCCACTTTGTGGAGCACCTACGCTCGGTTCGTGACAAACGACAACACTTCCCTGTCACGAACCACTTCAACTCCCCCTCCTGCTCCTTGGATGACATGTCCATCCTGGGCCTTCTCCAGTGCCACAACAATGCCACCCGAAGGCTGGAGGAACAGCACCTCATATTCCGCTTGGAAACCCTGCAGACCAATGGTCTCAATGTGGACTTCACAAGCTTCAAAATCTCCCCACCCAAGACCTCATCCCAAGACCAGCCCAGCTCGTCCCCGCCTCCTTGACCTGTCCGTCTTCCCTCCCACCTACCCACCCCTCCCCCCTCACTGACCAATCCCCATCCCAACTCCCCACCCACACCCACTTCCACCGGGAAATGATGGAGGCTAGTATGATTACAACATTTAAAAAGCATCTAGATGGGTATAAATAGGAAGGGTTTAAGAGGGATAATGGGCCAAATGCTGGCAAATGGGTCCAGATGTGTATAGGATATCTGGTCGGCATGGATGAGTTGGACCAAAGGGTCTGTTTCCATGCTGTATATCTCTATGACTTTGACTAGCTATGACACTCACATGCACATCATATGTGCAGCAGTGAAAAGCAGAATGAAGATCTAATTCACTTTGTCCTTTGGGAAGAACATAACCTCTTGAAAACAGGGTGTTAAGCTACATGGTTGGGTTTTGGCAATATTAACCTTTCTAAATAAACCTTACTCATTAATTAAAAGAAAAAAAGTTGGCAGAGATAAATTTTTAAAAATTCTAGCTAGTAACGGTTAGATCTTCACAGGAGAAAAATTAGGTTGATGTTGATTTCAGCTGGCATGTGGCACACATCCACCGGAATCGTAAAACAAAGGCTACTGTCACTGGGACCTTGGCAGAATCAATTCATTCGGAAATTGTTGAGATTTTGAAGGTATCATGTATATATATATACGTACGCTGGGCTTTCACTTTAAGAGTCCAATCACGTGACAACAATGACATCAGCCATTTTGGGTGGGAAACAGTTTAGACTAAACTCTTTACCTGTTGAATAAACATTATGGGAATAAAGCTCCTGCTGTCCAACACTTCAGTCTCCTGGTCTTTCTTTGAAATTATCACAAGAAAACTGGTGACAAGTATACAACCTGCTCTGGGATCCACCAAGTAAATCCACTGATTCGTCAAAAAAAAAATCACACAAACTACAGTTGAATTTAACTTGTTGCTGGAGGCAAGAACTGATTATTTGAATACATATTCTGTATAAAATATTAACAGATTTTAGCAAATGGTGTTAATTTTAACATGCAAGTCACGGGGAGGTGGTAGATTAGCAATAAACCTGCTGGAAACCAGAAGCCTATGCTGTTGCTCTGGGTGCACAGGTTCAAATCCCATCTGGGCAGCTGGCGTAATTAATCTCAGTAACGATGACCACAAAAACATTGCTGATTATTCTAAACAAAAATCAGTGTGGACTTATTGGGCCGAAAAGTCTGTTTCCATACTGTAGGGATTCTACGATTCCATGAAAACATTTGGTTCACCAACACTCTTTAGGGAAGCAAATCTACCATTCTTACCAGGGCTGGCCTACATGTAACTCCAAATTCACAACAATGTAGTTTACTCTTAAGTGTTCTCTGAAATGGCCTACTGAGTCACTCAGTGAAAGGGCAATTACGGATGCGCAACTGATGCAGGCGCAGCTACCAACACCCACATCCTATGAAAGGACATAGGAAATGAACACCTTTATCTTTTCACTGTTTACTTCTATCATGTTACAGGGTAAAGTGGGTACAGAAGTTTGTTGGTTGTTTGGTTAACTAATGAATAACAGCAAATACTTGTGTAGCTTGCAAGCTTCAGGGTGTGAAGACGATGGACCAAAGGGCGTTTCTCTCTTCTGTAAAACTATAAGTTTGACTTTTTAAATCAACTGAAACAGTTTTCTCCCTTGTGAGCACAACATAGTAATAAAAATAAAACAAAGCTATTTTTGGTTCTGTTCACTTTAGAAGCAAAGCTTCCAAACAATAGTATCATGAACCTTCATCAGAAAATGCAAGGCATTTAATTTTCTAAAATGCGTTTTTTCATATTCTACTTGAGTTGTAATTTTACTTCATATTTTAAAAGTTTAAAAACTTAGTTGAGTTTTTTTTAAAAAATAAGACACTTAGTCTGTATCAGAGGAGATAATGTCTAAAACTGCACCTGTTGAATTTTGTGTTCTAAAAGGGGTAGTGAGAGTGTCTCTTTGCCAATGGTCAATTATCAAAATTAAATTTTAAAGCTTTTGAATATGATTGCTTAGTTCAAATGTGAAACTGGTTTTAATTAAGTTTTGAACATGAGGGAGGATGTAAGAAAGATGACAGTGTTTCTTTGCAAGCATTTTGAGTCGAAATGACCCTTCATCAGACCTTCAGCTCTGATGAAGAGTCATCCAGACTCAATGCTAGCTTGTTTTCTCTCCATGGATGCTGCCTGACCTGCTGTGATCTCCAACATTTTTGTTTTTAGTACAGATTCCAGCATCTGCAGTAATTTGCTCCGACAGTGTTTCATTTCTCAGTCTGTTTTTTTAAAAAACGTTGGCTCCAAAACTAACAACCTCTGAGAACAACAGTTACTAATGGAGTTGAGAGAAATGGGCATTTGAAAGGAGTGAGAAGTGGAAGAGTTTGGTTGATTACAGACAGGAATGGGTACAGGTATTTCTCCTATAATGTGATAGCTGCGTTCTTGCACTATAGAAAATCACATTATAGGGAAATCACTATACCTGTACAGCAGAAAGTTCACATTATCCAAACAGCGTCCACTATTCATCAGTTACATTACAGCCAATTCACACTAATGAGACACGCGTTATAGCAGGAATTCCTGTACATCAAAAGTCAGGCAAATGCTTGAAGGAATCTACACAATGTGATGATTCCGCAGTACAAAGACAAATGTGTTCACAGCATGGTAGAAGCCATATTTAATAAGACAGACCAGCAGCAGACCTATGTGGGTCGTGGGAGTGGTGGCAGTGAGGTTTAAAGGAGCAGCAAGAGCAGAAAAGGTCATAGGAACAGACAGACCAGTGGGGGATTTCAAAAAAATCAAAGCGTGATGTCACAGAACTGCAAGTAGATATATTTAGTGGTTATTTCTCTCGTCTCTTTTGACTGGATATTACTTTGAGTCCATAAGTAAGCTTAAAAGCATTACGTAGATAGTCAATAGTTCAGAACTTCGAAACTAATTATCTACAACATCAGCACCTTTAGTAGAGCAGGATTTATTAACATCAGTACAGACAGCTGAATAACTACTGTTCATTCCTTGGTGTGATTAACATCAAATCCTTCAACTATGGTTATTTGTGAATTCACTGGGGTATTAGTATGTGGGGTAATCAAGTGAATCCCTTACCCTACACGGAGCAAGTGAACGGCCTCTCCCTAGTGTGTACTTGCTGGTGTGTTCATAGATGGGCTGACTGAGTGAATCCCTTCCCCCGCACAGCAGATGAATGGTCTTTCTCCAGTGTGAATCTCTTGTGGCTATGCAGGCTGGATGACTGAATATGCCTTTCGGCTTGGTGGCTCAGTTGTTCGCACTGCTGCCTCACAGCGGCAGGGACCTGGCTTCAATTACAGCCTCAAGTGACTGTGTGTTTGGAGTTTGCATGTTCTGTCCCACTGTCCAAAGATGTGCAGGTTAGGTGCACTGGATGTGCTAAATTGTCCCTTAATGTCCAGGGTTGTGCAGGCTAGGTGGATTAGCCATGGGAAACAGAGGGATAAAATAGGAGTGGGTTTGGGTGGGATGCTCTTTAGAGGGCAGTGTGGACTTTGACTGAATGGCCTGCTTCGACACTGTGGGGATTCTGTTCTGTTCTATTCTATGATTCTACCTATTCTATTCGAATTTTTTTTCACAATAGAGTTAAGAGCTTATGGATGTATGTCTGATGTATATAGACTGGAAAAATCCCATTCTTAAGTAGAAGTAAGGGTAAAATAAAAGCAAGGATCCGAATTCTGCTTAGCTAAGGTATGCCTGGAGAGGTCAGACTCATGATTTCCACATAATGCATTATGTGGAAAATCCTAGATGCCCCTACCAGTTCGACCATGTGTGCAGGAGTTGCCTCCAGCCATAGCAACTCAAACTTCAGTTTTTGGAGCATGACCAGCAGCTGGGGTCATTACGACACATTCACGAGGCCAAGAGGTTCATGAAGATCAAATTCCAAGTCTTGGTCAATCTGCACATTGAGGAGGTGCTGGCACAGAAGTAATGGAGACTGCCAGACAAAAAGAAACCTGACAGGTAGTTAGGGAATCCTGTGAGTAACTGCTCCTCTGTGGAGGCCAGCCAAAGCCAAGACCATGACACTTTATTTGGGGGTGGAAGGGTGGAAGGGAAAGAAGAGTTGAAGACCAATAGTGGTAGGGGAGTTGTTAGTGAGGCGAGTGGTTAAGAAGAATAACAGAGATACATTCTGTTAGGTGCAGGGGAGAAAGGAACAGAAGGAAATCTCAACATGTTTAAGATGGATGGGATGAAGAGGAACACATGTTGCACAAACACCAGCATGGGGCTGATGGGATGAATGGCCTGTTTGTATTGCAAATGTCTTGTAAACACTGGTCACATTCTGACTCATTGTAAAAAATTATAAAAATGTTATTTTGTTTGCAGTCACCAGTAATATCACAAATGAAAAACTATAAAATGAATTTCTACAGCTAACAAGGAACATAGAAAAAACAGTTTGTGTTCTTTGGCAGGATTATTAATTTCAGTGCTAATGGTTTTATTGTGTATTTCAAAATATTCCAAATGGCCCCTAAACATCAAGGAATTAATGATCAGAAAATGAAAGACAAAAAGACATTTTGATCATTTATTTTTAATATGGCTGTCATTATTAGCACACATTAAGTGTTTCTTTGATTTAACAGTCCATTTTGGCAAATAAACTTTTAACAATGGCAGAGTATGGTCTGCATCTCAAGACTGTTATAATTTAATACAATAAAGTTAATTAACCTGAAGTGAAGTGTGACATTGCAGGTCAATGAAAATACACCTGTAACTTAATGATAAATTATGGTTGATATATTTTGCAGTATATATATTGATACAAGGTTCAGTAATTTTAAGGTATTTACTTCACAGAATGCAGCAAATAGTTTCATGTTACAGTGCGTTACAGGTGTAAAATCAAAATTAGTGGCACATTACTAGAAAGTGACAAAAAATTTAAGACATCAGCATGTGCAGGAACAGTACTGACTTTTAACTTGCCTCTCCTTTTTCTGTCAGCTCCCTTTTCATTCCTCCCAGTATAAATAGCCAGGCTATTATGGAGATTGCTCTATCCCATGTTTATGGAGTGAACTGAACACAAATAAGTAGTAGGCTTTAAAAGTGCATCATGCCAATTATTCCAATCTGAATTACACACAGTACAATTTCGCACACTGCCCAATTCTACAAATAAGCAATAACAAATATACATGTATCTTACCTACCTTCCTTTCATAACCTAGAATATCACCCACCTTTTACCCACAAAAATTGATTTGTCACCTGGTTTCTTGAATTTCTAGGGAAATTTCCAGTAGAGCTTGTGTTGAGATAATGCTCAATAACCTTATAAAAATATTCCCAGCTGCAGGTGACTTGCTCATCTCTTGCACTTTATAGAAGCCACATTGCCAGTCAGGCATTGCATAATAGCTACATTTTAACAATACTAACCCCGGAATTCAATTCAACACTAACATAGCACATTTAAAACCAACTGAAAGGAAAGCATGCAGACGTATAATTAGAACAAATACTAACCTTTTCCTAGTGATCACTGCAATAGCTGACAACATAAATATGTAAAGAAATTATTAAGCGACTTAAAGAATACATAATGGACTAAGAAAACACTTTGTAAATGAGAAAACATATCTATGCAAAGAAATCAAATACTTCATGCTTTATACAAGATCTTAAAAACTAGGTGATTTTATTGCTCCTACTTGTATTAAAACATATCCAATCTTCTTTCTTCCAAAAGGATAATAGACAATGGACTTATGAAATATCTATCACAATGGCAACTTATTTATTTTTCTGTTTACATTTCCCACTATGTTCTTTTCCTTTCTCGAACTCTGCAATCTGATTAAATATTTCCAGCAGATTTTGAGGCATACTTTTCACTGCCTTTCCTTGAGTAGAATTATGATTAAGAGTATCATCTTTGGAATTTTCCCTTTTATTGTCCCTGTAATGTCTACTTTCACTTTCACCTTTCCAGTCCTTGTAGCTAGTTTCACCTTCATGTACGTAGTCCTGTCTACAATCTCCACTTCTTCCAAAATCATATCTTTTATCTTTACTATTAGAATTATTCAACCAGGACATTTTCCTTTCATGTCGGTTGTCACCTGACAGATGTGAATATTCTAACCCTGAACATCCAGAATCATTCCTATCTTTTTTATCATACTTTTTCCTCTCACTTTCATTTCCTAACTCACTTTCTTGAACCCATTTCCTAAGTTTGTCTTGCTCATTTGATACTTTTTCACACAATTCTCTGCCTTTATCTGCTTTGGGCCATTTATCATATTGGCTACAGCTATCATGAGTTCGTGAACTAAATAAAGAATCTCTGCTATCTTCAGACCTACCTCTAAGATGATCTAAAACTTCAACTGATGATGACGATGAAGAAATTGAACAGTACCTTCTTTTCTCCATGATATCTGACCAGTGGTCTACTGAACTGTCATTTTTCTCCAGCAACTTTACTACTTCCTGTTTCTGATTCAGAAAGGAAGCTGAAGTGTCAGCTGGAGGCGTATACCATTCTTTCTTATTGTTATGAGAATGATGAATTTTCTCATCACATGAACTCTTACTTAAGTGCCTCTTCTGACTGCGTGAGGAATCCGAACATTTCCTTCGTCGCTTCTTTGTTGATCTGTGTTTCCTAAAACGTTCAGGTGAGGATGAAGTAGAAGACCATGAAGAAGATTCTGATGAATCAGTTGAAGATGAAGAAGTTGATCTTTTTCTTCTTTTCTTCATCCTGAAAAGAAAAAAATAGATTATAAAATTGCTGTCTTTAAAAAGGCATGTTAAAATCAAGATTAATTTTTGTTCAATGTATATTTTACTGTTTCAAAGATAGAAATCACATACATTAGATAAAAGAAAGTAGGATTAAAAAAAGTAGTTACTACTAAACTGAAATGATGTTCACCAAACAAGTTGAACTTTCGAAGAATTGTACCATTTCTGGAACCACGTAAGATTTAATTAGCATTCGAGGATAGACTCCACGATAGGCAAGACCTGGTTAAAAAAATGTCACCTCCAACAGATCTGAAAGCCAAGCCACCATCAGTAAAATTGATAATGCCACAATTGTTCAAAAGTATAGTGACATACAGGAAATAATCAACATAATTTCAATTTTGAGATACAGAAAACAAAAAGGTTCACTTGTCCCAAAGCTATTAGTAGTACAGGAGAATGATACCATTGTTGTTCATTTCCTGCAAGATCACATTTGCACCAAGGACAGAAAATATATTGTAAGGCTGGTTTGAAAATAAAAAGTCAATACCTTCTAGGACACTGCAGTCTGAAGCTAAACAGTGTTAAAAACACAGAATAGAATAGAATAGAATAGATTAAGAGACAGAAGAACAAGCAGCAAACTGATTTTTTCCATTTCCCTCCTTCTAAACTAAACCGGTAGAAGCACTTTGGAATTCAAAGGTTTGCCAAGACCACCAAAAAAAGCTTTAAAAATTTCCAAACTACAGCAGTATCTGTTCCAACAATCCAATCTTTTCATTGCAGCAATGTGTCTGCTAAATGCAGTCACTTCCATAAACATTTATATTCAACCCCACAAAACACATCAGTTATAGTGATAATTGGAGTTATTAAACTGAAAATACCAGCCAACATAAAATGTAAATATTTCATAGATTTTAAATCCCACCTTTCTTGTTCAAGCAAGGGGAGAGTTTACCTCAATTTCCCACATGGCATCACACAACTGCACTTCTACTTTCAGTTGAGAAAATTACCTCTTTTCTTCTTTTAACAGCTTACGCAATTTCTCTGCACTTGACACCTCGACTTTGTTCTCTTCTTCTCTAGTTTCCTTTTCTTTCTTTTCAATTGATTTCTTTTATACCCAGACATCGGGAAATTATGGCAAAAATTACATTGTGTTTTCGGTCAGCAACACCATTGATTACGTTTTTATCCAGAAAACCATGTGGCATGAGCAGTTTTAAAAGATTAAAAAGGTTTGTCATGTTTAGAATCAATAATCAAATGCATGTTGTGTAAAATTTGGTTTGTTACATTTTGTCAACAATCGGGAACAGAAGAAATGGTAAAAAGATGATTGAATTTAATGAAAGCGGTGACAAATCAGAAAAAATTAAATTAGGAGGCAAACAGATCAGGTCAAATCATGGATAAGGAGACAGCAGTATGTAAGGATTATTACGGTATAGAAAAAAAAACAGCATATCAACATGTATAACCAAAAAAGAAACACAGGTGACCAATTTGGCAAATCCAAAGGAAATGGAAATAATAAGCACAAGGTTGGAATAACAAAATTTAATTCAAGTAACAAAGCATCAGAATTATTGAATATTCACAAATTTAGTTAAGACCAATTCAAACAAAGGTTTTGTACAATTTATCAAAAGAAAGATTTTTTTTTGAAATCGTCAAAGTCACCATGCATTACCAGTTGTTCCCCCAATGACCAACGTACAAACCAGGATTGTGCAGCAGAATCCAGTTCAGATCAGGTGTGGTATGTAATGAATTTCAGCAGCCAAGGCCCCAGAAAGGAGATGCACACAAAAACAAAACAAGAAAGAAAAAAAATCAGTAATGCAAGAAAATTCTTACTGACCATATATTAAACAGAAAAGGGGCATAAAATAAAAGTGCTTATTAAGCTATATCTGCAATTAGTTTTCACAGAAACGTTGACAATAATGCCAACTACAGTATATCGTATGTACTTTGAAATTTCATTCAAATCAAACATTAAAAAAATCATGCACATTAAAAGTAATATTCAAGGGGAGGGAAGGGATGTGAGTAGCAATAAAGGGGCCTCAAGAGTCAAGGAACCGTAGTATACCAATCTTGAAACTCATTCTGAACAAGAAAAACTAGAAACAATTTTGAAAGGGAATTTTTAAACAGATCGTTTCACAAGCCTCTGCTATCTAAAATTTGTTCTAAAAGAAATGCTTCCATAAAGTCTGGCGCGTTATTTGTCCTTTAATAGATATGATGTGAATCTATAATAGCACAGGCATTAATGTGGAAATTTTTTAATCCTGACTGATTCAATCTTCAACTAGCTTCTGATTAAAATATATTCAATAGATCTTTAGATGCATTCAAGATGTCTTGAAATTCACAAATTTTCAAAGTATAAAACATACATTAACGTGAGATATTATGGATAATTCTTAAAGCAATCTAAACTCTGGCATAGATTATATTGATCATGATTGAACACACTTCTCCCGAAGTAAGATATTATTTTTGCATTTCTTTTAGTTCTACTTCCTTCCACCAAGAGTAAACAGGCACTTCAGTCTGAGGCCATGCATTTTACCCAACAACCATCATCCGTCCTCAAATTTGCCTTCCCTTAGTGAAGCAGCTACCCAAGTCTTATAAAAGGTCAGGAATGTCAATTACTAAATTTCTAAACAAACAGCTTGGTGACACAAACTACTTTGCAGCAATACTAACACATCTGTAGCCTAAAAGAGAAACAATGGAGCTACAAAAAAAAAAAAGATTCTACCCTGGAAAATAAAGCTAATTTCTCCTAAACCTTAAAATAATTGCTATATGAATAATTAATTATGAAATATTAAGTTGCTGGCACTTAATGTTCTTAGGTGCCACTAAAGTATTAAAATGTGATGAGCAGCACCTTTATGTTTGAATTAAAACCATGTATTTTGCTGGAGGAGTCTATTGTACAACACAAAACAGTGTCAAAGTTTTCTGTATAAATGAAGGAAATTGTCCTAATTTCTGTGATCAATAAATTTCAACTTCTTTTCCAGAGATTTGTTAGGAACGTCTAGATCAGAATTTTCTCACTGACCATCAAGTTTCTGCTAAATCTCAAACAAATCCTCACAAGTCCTAAAGACAAATAGTTTCATGAAAAGGGAAGAAAATAAAAACTGTTCATTTCTGACTAAATAGCAGTCATTTCATATTCGTTTGGTTTGTGTCAATCGATATCGCTGATTGAGGCAGTAGGGAAAGACCGTTATTCTGAACAAGAAACTCCAGATAAACTCCAAATACAACCATGAAAGAAACATTTGAAAGTACATTTGATCACCATCCCCAACAAAGGACAGACACAGGAACAAAGGATTGGCACTGGAACAAAATAGCAAAGACAAATATTGGTTTTAGTACAAAATGGAAGTGCTGAACAAAGACCAAGAAAATCGTCAAGGAGGTATCCCAGTCTGTTAAATAGTTCTCTTAAGATTATAACATAAAAAAATGTCCTTTAAATAAAAAAAATTACTTTGCCCCAAACTGAGGCAGAGTATTTCAGGAAACTTAAACGCTATCTTCACAGTTTGACATTTCTGACTTTAGTGACTGGGGTCTTGCATAAAAGAGTCATTATATAGCAATTCTAGTATCACATTAAAAAGAAAGCCCCAACCAAAGCTTGTTTTGAAGAATTCCTCAGGAACAATACTGTTACACATGGTACCTATTAGTGAAAACTCACCCAAGCAGCAGTCTGGAATTCACCATGTGGTGCGTATCGGTCTGTAACCTATCTCCTACCAGTCCTTATTGCACTGCACTTGCACATTGCACATGTACCACTTCTAGTTAGTAAGGAATCTCCTGTAGCTTTCTACTGTATGAGTAAGGCAAATGTCAAACAGTAATAAATTTGTTTTAATACTGAACCTAGTAAATCACCTGCATGCGCTTTCTTAATTTCTGTAAAGCTTCCTCTGCCTCACCAAAACTCTGATCCAGCTTCAAAGCTTTTTTATAGCAATTTTCAGCATTTGTCAGCATTTCTTCTTCTTCTAATCTGTTGAAAGATTATTTTAGAAGTCATCAGAAAGTGATCTCATTCAAACTCTTTCCTGAATTTCAGTAAACACAGATGTATTTAGAGAGACATTATTCTGCATCTGTACCTGGACAAAGTTCTGAAAAAGTCAAACCGTTTCGCTATCCACAGATAATGCTAGAAAGAGTTTCACCAGCATTCTCTGTTCGATGTAAAGATAGTTAGTTTGACACCCTGCTGTGCATCCACATTGCGTGTTTTTCTCAGTGCAGAAGATGGCAATGAGGCTGGGATCAAGATTTTCTTTTACACGTGTGTTAAAGGAGGTAGGAGGGCAAATTGGCATTGCCCTAAACCATAATGTTTCAGAGTTCCCTGGATTCAGGAATTGTACCTCTAAATTGGAAATTTTCTCATGTCACTCCATTCTAAGAAAGGTGACAGAGGGAAACCAAGGAATTACAGACCAGTTATCCTGACGTCTGTGGTGTGGAAATTGTTGGAGCCTATAATTAAGGAGAGGGTAACTGATCACCTCAAACAATTTCAGTTCAGCATGGATTCATGAAACATAGAAACGTAGAGACATAGAAAACAAGTGAAGTAGGCCATTTGGCCCTTCGAGCCTGCACCACCATTCAATACCATCATGGCTGATCATGTGATCTCAGTATCCCATTCCTGTTTTCTCTCCATACCCCTTGATCCCTTTAGCTGCAAGGGCCATGTCCAACTCCGTCTCGAATATATCTAACAAACTGGCCCCAACTGCGTTCTTTGGGAGAATTCCACAGGTTCACAACTGAGTGAAGAAATTCTTCCTCATCTCAGTCCTGAATGGATTGCCTCTTATTCTTAGACTGTGACCCTGAGTGCTCGACTTCCCCAACACCGGGAACATTCTTCCCGCATCTAGCCTGTCCAATCCCATCAGGATTTTATGTTTCAATGAGAAACACCATTAACTTTCTAAATTTCAGTGAGTACAAGCCAGTCAATCTGGTCTTTCTTCATACGTCAGTCCTGCCATCCTCAGAATCAGTCTGGTGAATTATCGCTGGACTCCCTCAACAGCAAGAAATGTCCTTCCTTAGACTAGGAGACCAAAAATGCACACAATACTTAAGGTGTGGTCTCACCAAGGCCCCGCATAACTGCAGCAAGACATCCCTATTCCAATACTCAAATCCTATCGCTATGAAGGCCAGCATGCCATTAGCTTTCCTCACTGCCTGCTGCACCTGCACGCCAACCTTCAGCAACCATCCCTCATGATACTCATTTATCGCTGCACCTCATCTTTGTCGAAACTGATACCATTCAGATAATAATCTGCCTTCCGGTTTTTGCCACGTTTACCTTACATTTGTCCACAGAAAATTGCATTTGCCAAGTATTTACCCACTCAGCCAGCCTGTCTAAGTCATCCTGCAGCCTCTTAACATCATCCTCACAGCATAGTGTCATCTGCAAATTTGGAGATACTTCATTCATTTCCTTCACCCAAATCATTAACATATACTGTGAACAACATGGGATCCCAGCACTGAACCCTGGGCACCCCACTCGTCACTGCCTGCCACTCTGAAAAGGAGCTGCTTATTCCAACTTTCTGCTTCCTGTCTGACAAACAGTTCTCTATCCATGTCAATATATTACCTCCAATACCATGAGCTTTAATTTTCCTTACTAATCTTGTGTGCAACCTTGTCAAAAGCCTTTGCAAAGTCCTGATACACAACATCTACTGATTCACCCTTGTCCACTTTACTGGTCACATGCTCAAAAGATTCTAGAAGATTTTTCAAGCATGATTTCCCTTTAGCGAATCCATGCTGACTTGGACTGCTCAGTCATCACTTTCCAAATGCTCAGTTATTACATATGTAATAATTGACTCCAGCATTTTCCCCTCCACCGGTGTTAGGCTAACCAGTCTATAATTCCCCATTTTCTCTCTCCCTCCTTCTTAAATAGTAGGGTTACATTAGCTACCCTCCAGTCCACTGGAACTCTTCCAGAATCTACAGAAAGTTGGAAAATGATGACCAATGCGTCCACTATTTCCAGGGCCACTTCCTTAAGTACTCAGGGATGCAAAGCATCAGGCCATGGGGACTTATCGGGTTTTAATCCTATCAATTTCCCCAATACCATTTCCTGGCTAGTAAGGATTTCCTTCAGTTCTTCCTTCATGCTCCACCTTCTGTCTTCTAGCATTTACAGAAAGTTGTTTGTGTCCTCCTTAATGAAGATAGATCTAAACAATTTGTTCAACTGGTCCGCTATTTCTTTGTTGTCCATTACGAATTCACCTGATTCTAACAACATTTGCCTTCACCAGTCTTTTTTTCTTCACATATCTTTGGAAGCTTTTGCAGTCTGTTTTTATGTTTTCCACAAACTTACTTGCATATTCTATTTTCCCCTTCTGAATTAAACCCTTTGCTTTCCTTTCCTGAATTTTAAATTTCTCCCAGTCCTCAGGTTTTTCTGGACAATTTATCTGCCTCCTTTGACTGTAACACTGTCGTTAGTTTTCCTTGTTAGCCATGGTTGGGTCTCCTTTCCTGTTTTACTCCTGCGCCAGATAAGAACGTACAATTTTTGCAGTTCATCCATGTGTTCTTTAAGTGTCTGCCATTGTGTTTCCACCATCAACTCCTTAAATATCCTCGGCTAGCTTATCCTAGCCAATGCATGCCTCATACCATCACAGCTAGCTTTAAGTTCAGGATCCTAGTCTCAGATTTAACTGTGTCACTAATGAAGAATTCTACTGAACTATGGTCACTCTTCCCTAGAGGATCTCACACCACAATGTTGCTAATTAATCCTCTCCCATGACACAAAACTCAGTCCAGGATGGCTTACTCTCTGGTTAGTTCCTTGGCATATATGTCACGAAACCATTCCTCATACATTCCAGGAAATCCTCCTCCATCACATTGCTACCAGTAGGCTAGTCCAAACAATATGAAGGTTAGGTCATGCCTGACAAATCTGTTTTTTTTTTCCAAAGAGATCACAAAGGTGGTGAATAATACATTACAGCAGTTTTCATTGTCGAGGACACGAGCAATATTCCAGAAACAGCTGTAAATCAAGAACTGGAAGGGATGGACGAACTCAAGAAAATTACAATTTGAGGACAAAATATTGAATCTTCAAGAGGAATTAGATATAATTCTTACAGTTCAAGGGATCAAAAGCGGGAACAGGGTACTGAGTTGGGTGATCAACCATGATCATATTATGGCAGAGCAGGCTCGAAGGATTGAATAGCCTACTCCCTGCTCCAAATTCATACATTTGTATCTGATTGCTATCATGTAAACAACTAGATCTTGTTAAGCAAAAACCTCTTTCCTGTTTGACTATTAAGACTTTCTTTTCCACTACCAAACTGAAGCAGTCAGGCCCTTAGGATCCCAAAGGAGGAAAGCAGCAGCATTGTGAACGATGTATCTTTCACAAGGTGACTGTGGTGAAGATCTATCAAGCAACATATTGAGCAGCAGTGTGGATTCCAGCCAGCTTGGAGCAAGATTTCAAGTGTAGCTTTAAGAGAGTCAAAAGATGAAAGAGCCAAACATCTTTTTTATTCATGAGGGCACCACTGGCTAGGCCAGCATTTATTGCACATCCTTAATTATCCAGAGGGCAGTTGACAGTCAACCACATTACTGTGGGTCTGGCTTACATGTGACTCCAGACAAGTAAGGATGGGAATTTCTCTTCCCTCAAGGAGATTAGTGAACTAGATGGGTCTTTCTGACAATCAACAATGGATTCATGGTTATCATTAGACTCTTAATTCCAGATTTTTATTGAACTCAAATTCCATGTTAGGATTCAAACATGGGTCCCCAGAACATTATCTGGGTCTTTGGATTAACAGTCCAGCAATAATACCACTAGGCCATTGCCTCCCCACACTCAAGAACCCTATAAGAGGAGGACCTATGGCAAGATTCTACAAGGCAGAATCTAAGTTGTTGGTCAAAAACATTTCAGACCTGGTAAGAAAAACTGAGTGTGAGCTAGAAACTCCAAGGAGCTAGAGCACTAGTGAGCTCCTCTCCGTATCATGCACAGCATTTGGTTTCTTTCTTTTCCTCCAAGATAACATGTAAATAAATTATAAATATCACTTCAAAATTTGAAAAAATCTGCCACCAGCTTAACAACATTATGATACACATTGGATCGTTGAACACTTTAAATCATGAAGATACCAAGGAATACCAACAAAGAAACATTCAAATGCATATTATAACATTCTTCACAGTGTATGTAACCATGGGAAAAAATTACATGCTACGGTATTCAGGATGTGGTCTAGCTAAAAACTATATAAGGCACTAGACAGCCTACATCTGGAACACTCTGAACAGTTTTGGTCCTCTTATCAAAGGAAAGATTTCCTGGCATCAGAGCAGTTCAGAGAAGGTTTACTAGGTTGATTCCGGGTATGGTGGGCTTATCTTCGAGGAGAGATTGCCTAAGTTGGGCCAGGACTCACTGGAGTTGAGGAAAATGGGAACCTTATTGAAACATACAAGATTCTTAGGGAACTTGACAGGGTAGATGCAAAGATGTTGTTTCCCAATGCGGGAGAATGGATACCATCAACTGCTAGTTGATGTCAGTCACTGCAAATAGCAGTTTAAGTCCTAGGAATATCTGTACCAATTAACCTCTATTATTAGACGGAGCCTAGGACCTAAGTGAGAACTCAGAAGGGGCACTAGGAGCCAGGAGAAGGGAGCTGCTGAAGAACAGAAACCTGGCCCAAGGCAAGAACAGAGAGTAGGTGGTGAGACTGTCACTTCAGTGCAAGGGACGCAAGGGTGGGAGGAAATACCTCGAAGCAACTGTGCCAGCAAGGGGAGGTGGTGTAGGGAAGAAAAGGAATGGAGAATGTCAGACGACAGGCAGGAAAAGCTTGTGCATGCTAACAGACCACAGAAGAGAAAGTCTGTTGCAAATGCCATTAAACTGAAACTGGCAACAGATATATTGACACTATTTTATCAATGTGTTGAAGCAAAACGTCAGCTGAGTTAACATTAGCAAGGAATCTTGCAACAAAATCATTTATTAGGCCAGTTCTATTGTCACTATGTCAGAGATTCAGCAACCAACAGATGGTCTGAGAAGAAATTAGTCCCTTTGCTAATTAATTAAATCAGATGTATTCATCTTGACTATAAAATAAGCTGAACACAAATGTTAACATCGTCCACTGCCGACTATCATCGTAAATTAAAAAGCCCACATTTATAATGGAAACTGCCCATACAAACTTGTTTCACCTTAATTATACTCACATGCAGTTTCTTAAAAACGTAGCTACCGTGCAGTGTCCATCACAGAAAAGCTCCAAAGCTGAAATTAATTCCACTTCTAGATTTGTCAAACTGACTGATTTACTTAACTCTAAATCATATAAAATTGAAGGAATATATTTTTAAGATTTAACAATGTTTAAAATGGAAACTTTTCTCTTTTGTTTCACAGGATGTGGGTGTAACAGACAAGGCCAGCATTTATTTTCCATCCTAACTGTCCTGGAACTGAGTAGTTTTTCTGGGCCATTTCAGAGGGAGCTACGAGTCAACAATACTGTTGTTGGTCTGGATTCACATGTAGGTCAGACCAGGTGAGGATGACAGGTTTCCTTCCCTAAAGGACATTACAAACCAGACTTTTTTTTTTAATGACAATCAAAGGCTTGGTATCACTAATAGACTAGCTTTTTAATTCCAAAATTTATTCATTAAATTCAAATTACACCAGCTGCCATGGTGGAACATTAGCTTGGGTCCTTGGAATTTTAGTCCAGGGCTATTACCACTATACTACCGTCTCCTTATATAACCATGCTGTAGTAAAATTAATCGCTCCAGCCCTCCAGACCAATTCACTGAGGAACCTACTCTATATTTTGGTTCAAGTACAATGCCACAGGAAGTTAACTGATATGTTTTGTTTTATTCAAAGTATTCTCACTTACTGGCCTCCTCTTTCCACCAGAGTTTGACAGAGATATTTCTTTGCATTCCTGTGTGTTGGGCACGTCTCCAAAGCCAAATCAAAATCAGAAATAGCTTTGCTTAGACTTCCTTTCGTTGCATAACTAAAACAAAATGGCAAAGAAATGTTAACAAAATACACTTTAATGATTATTACTATGTAATATTTTTCTTAATTCATTCATGGAACGTGGGCACTGACCGGACCAGCATTAATTGCCCATTTTGCCCAGCGGTCAGTTTAGAGTCAACCACATTGCTGTGGGTCTGGAATCATATGTAGGCCAGACCAGGTAAGGATGGCAGAACATTAGTGGACCAGATGGGTTTTTGCTGATAATCAGCAATGGTTTCATGGTCATCATTAGACTCTTAATTCCAGATTATTATTGAATTCAAATTCCACCATCTGCCATGGCGGGATTCAAACCCAGGCACCCAGATCATTACCTGGGTCTCTGGATTACTAGTCAAGCAATAATACGACTAAGCCATTGCCTACTAATCTCACATTGTTAATGTTGATTTTTCTAAGAAAAGCTATATGTTTTTTGACTTTCCAATTAACATTAGTCACACAGCATCAATTTCTCCTAGCAAGAGTTTTAACCAAAGCTATCAGTCCAAATGGCAAATTGTTAACACCAAAGGCAGCACAGCAGCTCAGTGGTTAGCACTGCTGCCTCACAGTGCCAGGGACCTGGCTTCGATTCCAGTCTTGGATGACTATTTGTGGAGTTTGCACGTTTTCCATATGTCTGCGTGTTTCCGCCAGGAGCTCAGTTTCCTCCCACAGTCCAAAGTTGTGCAGGTTAGGTGGATTGGCAATACTAAATTGTCTGTTGTGTTCAGGATTGCGCAGGCAAGGTATATTAGCCATGGCGAATGTGGGGTTGCTGGGTTAGGGTAGGGGAGTGGTTTCTGGGTGGGATGCTCTGCAGAGGGTCAGTGCAGACTTGATGGGCCAAATGGCCTCTTTCTGCATTGTAGGGATTTTATGACAGCTTGATATTATGCATGACATTATGCATATCATGCATAAATCAAATTTATTCTGGAGAGACTGTAAACATTGTGAAAGAAATTCCAAGGTTATTCACAGCAAGATGTGTTTTCATGTCAATGGGTAGAAGAATGATAGAAATACTAGAAATAAACCATGAGCAAAATTGTAATAATAGTTTCTCTTTCTTACCCCTACCCTTCCTCACTTGGATAGTGACTTAGCTAGGCATGGTTCTACATCTTCCAGCAGCCAAGCAATACTTCTCCTAGATTGCCTTTGAAGTAAAATCATGGGCAACAATGCAATGGATTGCTGAATGATGGAATCATCACAGATGACTCAAATTCCATTTCCACTTATGTACACACTTCAAACTGAGTCATTAAGCAGCAATTTAAAGCAGAAATCCCAGCTCAACTAAAACAGAGGCATCAATGCTAACTGCAAAATTCCCACTGTGTCACTCTGACCAAAGTTAGCTGACTTAAGACAGACCATTGAAACATGGTACTTTTATGGTCTGTGGGGCTTGACACAACACTGCATGGTACGTTTATTGTTGGAACCATCAAAAGGACCTATATTTGCGACTCCTAACAAAAAAACTGGACAATATTAATGTTAGTACAGACAAACCAATGTTGCTGTAATAGCGTATAGCCTATCACATACTTACAGAGCACCACGAGCCACAAGAGCTTCAACATTGTTACTGTCAATTTCTAGGGCTTTGTTGTACTCATTCATAGCATCAACATGGCGTCCCGCTTTAAAATGGTCCACCCCAGTCTTGACACTATAGGGGAAAGGAGGGCAAATCTAAGTTAGTAGGGAATCAGCTGTTTATATATTAATTATTTCCTCGTATTATTTCACATAATTCAAGGAACTTGATACTAATGATGTTGATACATTTTATTTGTACTTTGAATATCCACATTAAAACTGCTGCTAAATATCACAGCAACATTTATAGCATAAGCACTAACTAGTAATTTCTTTACTGTCAATTTCAAAAGCACACACATTTGTGCAGTACTGCAACTGCTTCTGAAATATACAGAAACAATAAAAAGGTTTGGATGACTGGAATTCTTTTCCAGGCATGGCAAAATATTAGAAATGGAAGGACACCACATACCATGTCCTAATATCCATTTCCAAGTAATCACCAAGGAAATTGTCAACAGCTACTGATAAAACTTCACAAGCTGCTAAATAGTTTGTAAATAATTGTACCAACAGTAGTTAAATAACGTTTATTGTATTTTGCAAAATGACAACTTCACTTTGCACAGCTTGTAAATCACTCGTTTACGTCACAAATGCAACATTTGTTTCAATGCTTTATCAGAGTGTGTTTGTGTTTTGATTTTGTTTCATTAACATTGGTCTAGTTCTAACCGTTACATAATTTTCTTTTGCAAAAGAAAACATCATAAACCAAAAGAGGAAGGACTGTGTGCTAGTCAGACCACAGATGGAATACTGTGAATAGTTTTGGGCACCTTACCCAAGAAAAGATATACTGGCAATTGAGGCAGTCCAGAGAACATCACTAGGCTAATACCAAGTATGAAGGGACTACCTTATGAGGACATGTTGAATAAGTTAGGTTTGTTCGGGATAAGAAGAATAAGAGGAAACCTTATTAAAGCATACAAGATTCTGAGGAGACTTGACAGGGTAGATGCAGAAATCCCACCCCAACCTGCCCAAGAAATAAATCAGAATTCAATGCCCATTAGTGACACTGGAAGCAGTGCTTACTGGAAGTAATGTACCCATCAGACCAAGAATTGATAAAGGACCCAATCTACAAGTAAGTAAAATCTGGATAAGTATCATTGACTAAGGATTGGGATAGTGGTGGGGATGGTTAACGGAATGTTCATAATAAATTGGGAGACGCTCTCAAAGTGTCCTCCCCCAATCCCATTTCCCAGTGCTTACTATTTGTCCTAGGTACTTACCACTTTAATGCCCAAGATGCCGACTGTTTTTTCCTTAAGGCTGCAGCATAATCATCCCCGATAAAATTTTTACTATTAAAAGAAGAGAAGGATCAATAGTAATAGCCATATTATTTCAGGGTACAGTGACATTTTATTTGTCAAAAACTCCACCATCATTGGATGAACTTGAATGCTTCTAAAATAACTAAAGTGCAAATCAGTAGAAGAAATTTCAAATGCTACTCTAGACATAAACTGTAAGTATTCTTCCTTCTTGTCTGTTTAACTGTCAATTAAACCCAAGAGATTCTATGCAGAACAGTTACATAGGAATAAAAATTGTTTTAAAAATATGAAATTATGTAGGAAATTGACATTCCACAAATTTAAAATTGGTTTTTTAACTCCAAGGGTGTTCTGCAATAATTATGAAGTTCAGACGCCATTCAAACCCAGCTACACCTCATTCAACAAAGTACATAGATTTCAAAGGTTTTTTTTAAATGAGTCTAACAGTGCAAGCTCTTAATTAATTAAATTGATTTTCATTAATTACAGTCTGAGCAATCAGCACCACCACCATAGATGTGTACAATCTGACAGCAAATTCTACATCTCTACGTAATTCTGCACATGGGCAAACCATATAAGTTACTGTGAGTTTTAGTAAAGGGCTGTAAACACTGAGCTTTGCCATCATTATTGTACAAATCTGAGCCAGTGACAGCAACTTCTGGATTTCCACATTTAATTGTGCATGTACAAACTAGATAACTGTCAGATTCAAATGAATAATGGCAGCAAATGCTAACAGCTTGCCCACCATTAATACCATTAAATCTGGGACACTGTCTCCACTTTGAGAACTAAATAGGAAGATGCAGAACTACAACTGACCATTCAAGTAGGTGGTTTATTGCTTTATTACAGAAAAATGCACTTTACTATCTTCGATTGGTCACTTCCTTAAACAAAATTATTCATATCAAGAACTGTAATACAGTGTTATTTTTTCAGACAAGAGGTTTTTAAATTTGGCTGGATTTTCAAGGAGAGATCAAACAGGACACACTACAATGTTTGTCAAACTGACCCCATAAAAATCAATATTGCTGGTCGTGGAAACCCTTTTAAAAAGTCAGACAGCCTGATACTGCATTACATTGACTGTTTGACAAATCACTTCATTGGTGTTAGGCTACAGCGTAAAATTAAAATGAAGTGTTACACATGTACATAAAAGCACACATTACAGTACATTTCAGAGTAACTGGGCTAGGGGACTGGTCATTGAAAATGACTGTCACCCAATAAGAAATCAATTAAAATCATTTTAGAAAGAGTACGAAGATTTAGCATACCCCTCACTTTTGAAATAACTTGCTAGCTCAAAGCCCTTACTTTAATCCTGTCCTTGCTGAATACATTATCCATACACATCACCTTGCCCAAAATTACATCACTTGATTCTGTTCCCACTCATTCACAGAATCATAAAATCCCGACAATGCAGAAAGAGGCCATTCAGCCTACCAAGTCTGCACCAACACTCTGAAAGCATCTAACTTATATCTAGCCCTCACAACCTTGGGGTGGAAGCTAGAGAAGTGCAACATTGTGAGGTTGTCTGTGGGTTGGCAGTAGAGTGAGGTATTGAGGTGTCCGTCCTTCATGGAAATGAGCATGTCCAAGAATGAGACTGATTCTAAAGAGTAGTCCATGGCAAGTCTGATGGTGGGATTTTACTTTGGAAATAAAACCAGTCTGACTCCAAGTTAAAACACGGACAGATTCTAAACAAGGCCACACACCTAAAATGCATTGTCAGACCGGAGAGGTCATCTCTGGTATGCTGATAAAACCTTTAATTATCTCGGGGCAGTGACTTGAAAGGAATTCTGGGAATTACATATTAATCAAAAACCTGCATCTCCTTTCTAACTGATTAAAGATTTAACAGCTACCTTAGGTTTGTTCAATAAGTTCTATGACCCTTTTTGATCTTAGGCTTATAAATTCTATGTCTGATGCTACCTCTCTCACTAATACCTGCAGAAGGAGCGAGACTCCAAAAGTTTGTGTTTTCAAATAAACCTGTTGGACTATAACCTGGTGTCATGTGATTTTTGACCCTGTCCACCCAGTCTAACACCAGCACCTCCACATCACAATTTTTATAAAGTACGTGGATGAAAATTTGAAGTGTTATAACATTCAAGGTTATGGGTTTTGTGCAGAGAACAGTGACCAGCGTAGATAGTAGTATATTTTTGGTGGTACAGACTTGTGGGTTGAAGGGCCTCTTCTGTACTCTGTGATTTTACAGTGCTATGAAAACCCATCTGTTCAATTTAGCTTCCTTGAGTTTTCATTCATTTTCTTATATCAAGTGTGGGAAGCACCTTGGATCATATTTACATTTATATCACATCTTTAACATTAAAGTGTTTTTTAAAATATAAATCAAACAATCAGCCACTGTGAAAGAGAGGCAAAATGAAGATTTTGGTCAAGTTGAATTTAAAGATCAAAGATTGTTAAAAATTGGAGACTAAAAATATTCTAAAGTAATAGTTACAAGAGACATTGTTACTCCTGAAACTCAAAATCTCACCTCTGCAATCCTCTCATCAGAGACGGTGAGTCAATTTCACTAATTCCAAGTTTGCCCAGCAAATATTCAACAGTTGAGGGATTAGCAAATCCAAGTGTTTGGTGTAAAATTGTGTCATATGTTTCAGCAACATGATTGCCCAGAGTTGCATTACGCCTGCAGACAGAGCGCAAAATATTTTAAAAAGGTAAATGCAGCGGTAGGAATCCATTTCCAAACATGGTCATCAACACCTTCACATTAATTAGACGAAGAATAAATTATCAGAAAACTAACATTAAGTGCCCTTTAAATATCAAAAATCAGGGAAGCAAATGACATACTGAATGCCAATAGTGAAATACTCTAGTCACAGTCAAATTTAATTGGTTGCAATATTTCCTACATCATGTCAGTGAGTACACTTCAAAGGTAACCTAATTGGTGTTATATCACTTTTGGTCATTCCAAAGTTGTGAAAGCCACTGCTATATAGAAACACAGTGACTCCCTTGTCCGCTCCACACTCCCCTCCAGCGCCACCACACCCGGCACTTTTCCCTGCAACCGCAGGAAGTGCTACACCTGCCCCCATACCTCCTCCCTCACCCACATCCCAGGCCCCAAGAAGACTTTCCACATCAAGCAGATGTTCACCTGCACATCTGCCAATGTGGTATACTGCATCCGCTGTACCCGGTGTGGCTTCCTCTACATCGGGGAAACCAAGCGGAGGCTCCGGGACCGCTTTGCAGAACACCTACGCTCGGTTCACAATAAACAACTGCACCTCCCAGTCGCGAACCATTTCAACTCCCCCTCCCATTCCTCAGACGACATGTCCATCCTGGGCCTCCTGCAGTGCCACAACGATGCCACCCGAAGGTTGCAGGAACAGCAACTCATATTCCGCTTGGGAACCCTGCAGCCCAATGGTATCAATGTGGATTTCACAAGTTTCAAAATCTCCCCTCCCCCTACCGCATCCCAAAACCAGTCCAGCTCGTCCCTGCCTCCCTAACCTGTTCTTCCTCCCACCTCAAGCCGCACCTCCATCTCTTACCTACTAACCTCATCCCGCCCTCTTGACCTGTCCGTCCTCCCTGGACTGACCTATCCCCTCCCTAACTCTCCACCTACACTCACCTTTACTGGCCCCATCCCCGCCTCTTCGACCTGTTTGTTTCCTCTCCACCTATCCTCTCCTGTATCCATCTTCTATCCGCCTCCCACTCTCTCCCTATTTATTTCAGAACCCCCTTCCCCTCCCCCTTTTCTGATGAAGGGTCTAGGCCCGAAACGTCAGCCTCTCTGCTCCTATGATGCTGCTTGGCCTGCTGTGTTCATCCAGCCCTGCACCTTGTTGTCAAGGAAGACAACGTTGCTGGATCTGGTTGTGGAGATTCAGGTGGGTCAAATGGATTAGGCCTCAGTAGAGGAACATTTAGAGGACAGTAATCTGAACAATTTCTGAATAACAGTCGTATTGGACTTGAAAAGTAAACTTTTTGCCTCTCCATAGATGCTGCCAGACCTGATTGTTTCTCCAGCATTCCTTTGGTTTTAGCTGGGTAATGCATGTTAAAAAAGATGTGAAGGTTCTCACAAGGTTCCAGAAAAGATTTGAGAACTGTTTCCTAATTGAGGGACTTCAGTTATGAGGATTGAAGCTATATATAGGTCACTACTACATCTGTCTTAATTGGTCAGATCAGTGTAGTTAGTCCTTAGTTGAATATTTAACGAAGGAGAATATTCAAGTACAGTTGCTTTTGACTGTAGTTGTTTCATCAGCCCTATTACTACAGAAACAGTTCTCCCTTAGCAGATTTTCATGCATTGTCCAAAGAGACACGAATGCACGCCTAAAATACCAAATCCTTTTTCACATTACAGAAGTACAAAGTGCAGACCGTGTTTTTGAGGATAATGAAGAGTTAATGCCATAATAGCATGTGCCCCTTGGCAAAGTTCATGCCAATTTGGAGAATTTGCTATTTCATAAGAGTGATGTACACTGCGAAGTGTACAATATGTAGCTAGTCACTGATTAACAGTACTGAATAATTGAGATTGTCTTTTGCAAATCTCCAAATATTGAGTATCAAATGTTTACATTGCAAAACTCAACTGAATATCTCGAAGGGATAGTATGATGACGGAAAAGCTTGTTGAACATAGATAGTTTTTTTCTAGTTAAAGTGATCTATATCTCATTTTAAAAAGCTATAGATTGTGTTTTTCATCTTTATCCTGCCATTACAGTGCGGGATTGCAATATAAAGCATGGCAGATGAAAACCCAGGTCTCTATGACGAAGATAGGTAAGAATTCTGAGCAGAAACTAAAAGATAACTTAAAACTCCCATCCAGTTCAACTAAGTGCATAAATGATCTATGTGCTGGGAGCCACCTCGAATTCCTTTTGTGCAATCTTCCAAACAAGAAAGTGGGCTGGGGAGTATTTGGAAAGACAATTAGTCTGTTATGATATCATTAGGTTCCTTTAAGTGCCTACGTGACCTGAAATTGCTCTGGGGGTGAACTGCTATGAAGCAAGGGGTAAACAGAAAGTTAATTGCAGCAAGATAGGGGTCGGCATGTTTTTCTTAATGTGGCAGTTCAGAATACTGGGACTTTGAGCAAGGTAGAAACAAGCAAGACTCTCTCTAAAAACAGTCCTCTGTTTCACAAAATAAAAACCGAAAGAACTGCGGATGCTGTAAATCGGGAACAAAAACAAAGTTCCTGGAAAAGCTCAGCAGTCTGGCAGCATTTGTGAAGGAAAAAACAGAGTTAATGTTTCCGGTCCAACTGCCAGACCTGCTGAGCTTTTCCAGCAACTTTGTTTTTGTTGTCTCCGTTTCACAATCTTTGAACAGATCCTGACTATAAAGCAAGTCTCTACTCTGTTCTCAGAGATTGCTGTTACTAAGAGTGTGATATAGATGAGAAGGACAAGACACTGAACAGAATGATTGAGAAATGGACAATATCCATTGCTGCTGTTGTAGGGAACTAGTGTTGACCAGTCCATTTAAAACAGGTCTGGGAAGACAGTCTTCGGAAATTGCATGCCATCACGTGAGAGGGTTTATTGACGTGCACCTTGCTGGTATTCACTGTATTCAGGGAATTCAGACATAATGCATCTACTGGTGAATCTAGTCGAGGGCTGAAATAATTGGACGGGAAGCAAGAAATCCAACACAATGGAGGCAGAGTTGAATATATAGATTAAACATGACAAGTTTTGCATGAGAAGTAATGAGAGCACTAGCAACTAAAAAGGCATATCTGTGCTGCATCAATGAATAATACCAAAATTTATCTTTTTCATTTAAATATTTGTCACAAATTTATTGCTTGAATTATGTTGACTTTGGTTGGTTGGTTTGTTACTGTAAATGCTGAAATCATACCCTGCAATTTTCTTTCCATTTGCTTTGTACAAAATCTTTTCTTTTTGGAAAGAATCAGTCTACAAAAGAATTGTAACATAAGATCAATACATCCTGGGAAATTATGACACATTCTGTATTTGGGTAATGCCACATCCATTACTCCAAAGTTGGAGGAGTGCATTGTCTCTTTTTCGTCCCACTGCTTACAAAATGAACTTAAATGTTTTACTAATTACCAATAAGGCCAATTATATAGCTTAGCTATTTTAGGATTAGAATAAAAGAACTAATCAAGTTTTTGTAATAAACAAAACTGATTTATTATGACGACAGGACTTATTCAGCAAAGATGTAAAGCTGATTAAGTCTGAAATAGTTTATTAGAATTATTTAGGGTTTTAAATACACACCCCACCCCAACACTGTAAACAACTACATATCAATTCAAGAAAACCTATAAAGAGCTTCCTCTGTAGAGATTAATTGTGAAAGAAAAAACACTTGGCTAATAACGTTTTGCTCTTGAAGAAAATAGGTGATATGATAGGAATTGTTCTAGATGGCTTTCAGACAGCACCCTGGCATGTCACAATCACAGTCAATTGTCAATGGGACCTTTGCAGGCAGTTTGTCCAGAAATCATGGGCAATTCAGGGGCTTTGCAGGAGAACAGATGTATTTTTTATTCAGCCCGTACATTGAAATGTCCTAAAAGGTTTATTCAGAAGAGGTACAGTGAGAGTTCTCTCTCACTCAGCAAGCTGTACCCACATTGAAATCAAAGCAATATCCAAAATAAAACAATGAACCTGAGGCTTGTGATTTCCAGTAAACAAGTCCAGACAGTTAGCTTAAGACATGTGACTCTCAAAAAGTCTCTTTCAAGAAAGAGAGATTCCAATGTCCTTTTTATGTAAAAAAAGTTCAAGAATCTCCAACACTCCAAACGAACGTAACTTTTAAACATGAAGCCTCAAAAAAATTAATAATGGAATATCTTTGTAAGATCGCCTATGGAATAAATGAAATGTCATTTTTAGGTGTAACAAAAACAAATGTTTAAAAAAATTCAACATATATTTGCACATTTTCTTTCATTCATTACAGCTAAAATATTAGTTTTACCCAGTAACATCTACGATACTCATAATTCAAAGCAAATTTTAAGTCAAGACACAGCCCCAGCAATTATATGGTTTCCTTGTAATGTTCACCATTTTTAAATTGATTGGACTTTTAGCAGCACACACTTAATGGACTGAAGGGCTGTACTGTATGATTCTATTAACCTATGACTGCAATAGTGAACTATCCTGAAATAGTTCAGTATTGTAGTTTTTGAATTTTTCCACAAAGACCGAGAGGTTATGTTCAGTATAGACCAGCATCTCTCTGTTGTTATGATGGACATTTACTTCAAAATGTTTAACAGCATGAGCAACCTCACATTTCTTTTTACACTGTGGACTATCTTTAGTGCCAATTTAGATTTTTGGAGAAGTATTAAAAACTTTTCTGTGCCTGACCCATCTTCATATCGGACTGCACCTACCTCTAAGCCACTAGCATCAACCACCAACTTTCAAGTTTTTTTCAAATTTGGGGCAGCTAACAGTTTCAAAATTGATCAATATTGCTTTCACCCTCTCAAAAGATGGTTGGTACTCCCTGACCACAATATCTCAGCTTTCCTTTGCAGCAAGCCCATGCAGCTAATCCTTAATTGATACTAAATTTCATTAGACACCACACACCCCCAAAAAGCTCATGATGTCTCATTCAGTCTTAGGGGCAGGAAAATCAATTCGTGCTTCCACTTTTGCTGTCTTTGAAAACACCTGTCTTTGCACTAAGGCCTAGGTATATGTTTTACAAACTTGTTTTTAAAATTCACTTCTGGTAACCTCTGTAACAAAACAATTGCAAATTTTATAAACAAAGCTTCCGTGGTACCAAGTGGTCCTTCCATGTGTCACCAGATATCAGACATTAAGGTAAACCACACAATTGGGTACACTAGTTGTCACTTGATTCAATTTTTTTTGGAACATTGTCATGGCACTTTTCAGCCCAAATGGAAACACCGGGCATTGGAAAACATAGTCTGGGTGACAAGAAAATAAATAATATTTCTTTAGCTCTGGGGTCAAAAGGAACCTGCCCGAATACCATTATTAATGTATTTCAGTTTAAAAAAAAATTTGGCACTGCCAACTTAATAGTCTTCCACCCAATTCCTCACTTCGGACACTGCATTTGTTACCGAAATCAGAATTTGGTTTAACCATCAGGCTTGTGCATTAATATGACTAGGGTACCCCAGCTGTTTTGACTCGGTTCAATAGGTTATTTTTCCAACATGCATTGGATTTCTGCTTCCACCTGGATCGGTTACTCTGGACTGAAGTGATAAAGATGTTGTTTAAAATGACGGGATTCTCTTACACCTACATCATATGTGGATAAAGTCAACACCCAGAGTTGCCCCTCAAGGCTTCTTTAAATTCTGCAATTAACTTCATTAGATCTCATCATTCTGCCTCTAAATGCCAAAGCATGGGTGTCTAACCTCCCTAATTGTCCACTGTAAGCAAACCAGATAGAAGGAAGTCCAACTTGGCTCAACTGTACAGCCATCATCACTATCCCTTTGTACTCCACAGATTGTTAATCAGCAAGAGAATCAAGGGTTAAAGGGAAAAAACTGGAAAGGAGGAGTTGTTCTCACATAGCTGGTTCACCTCTTCCACATTCACAGCAGTGTTTGCTTGGCATTACAGCTACACCTGGAACTACAACCTTGGTCTGTCACGCTTTTAGCCAGAGCCTCTTTCTCTGCACTGACCCGGCATCTTCGTTAAGTTACGTGTTTGGCCCACAACTTCCAGCCATCTGCAAAAAGGTGCCGCACCTTGTTACAATGGAAATACTTAGGCTTTTGGATTCCATCTTTGTACCTACTTGACTTGCCCAAGGAGATTTTCCTTGGGATCATCCTCTGGACCCTGGCTACTTGCATTACTTTCCATCATTCTCAGGCTGTGATGGAAAAAGGTTTGGGTTTGGTGGACAATCTTGCAATCAATCATCTCAATTGTCTATATAGCTATTGAGACATTCTTGATTTTTAACTCTGTGGTTTCTTACTAATGTAGGGATTGCATTTTTTTTTAAATTCTCATACCTCGATCTCTAATGTCTGTATCCAACAATGAAGTTATTTTGCTTGACCCTGTCAAATTCCACACAAGTCTGCTCAGATTACTTCTGAAGGTTCAGAAGCTTCAAGACTTGGGCACCAAATCATAGGAACCCAGAATAGCCTGTCTCACCATTTCAGACTGGAGGAGAGTATGCCGCAAATCTTGAAGTTTGCCAGTCAGTATCCAGTTTTCTTTTCACCATCTCATTTGTTTCACTATCTTTGAGTGATTTTTAAAAAAAAATACCATTCCATCAAATCTCAGGAGGGCTTGCTGAAGCTCTCCACTGGGTCTTGGGCTTGAGTCAGTTTTTTCCTGATCAGACTTTTCTTTGGAGTCAGAAACAGCCTTTTTTAAAAAATAAAAAGTGGAATCAGCTTTCTCTACCCTTTCTCTCTGCAATTCAAGTTTCAGCTCAAAATATGCTTTCACTTACTTTTCCACTCATGGAAATGTGCATTCCTTTTCCTCTCAAATTCTTGCTCTAGCTTCTTCCTTTCCAACTTGTGCCAGTGCAATCTTGCCTTCTATGGATTCCACTCGTCCTTCTAGCTTTCTCGCTTCAATTTTCCAGTTACTGGTTTCTGACTTTCAAGTTTCCTAGCTGGAATCTTTAACTGCAAGTCTTTTGCCACACTCAGCAATTGCGCAATAGTCAATTCCTTCAAAAAGTAAAAATCAATTCCAGACTGCTGTACATACTCATTTGTATCAAAAGTAGCCATTCAGTAACACAAGTTTTACTTTGGCCCACAAGAAACCTGCCATTCTGCATTTTATCCTTTTCAATTATTACCCCACTTCCAATTACACATTTCTTGTTTTTGGTTATCCCACAAGTCCCCTCTTCCATGTCACAACCGAGGATTTTTTTTTATTATTCACTCATGGGCTGTGGGTGTCACTGGCTGGGCTAGCATACATTACCCATCCTAAGTTGCCCTTGGATAAGAGGGAGTGTGTTGCCACAAGGGCAGTCAAGTCAACAATATTTCTGTAGGTCTGAAGTTGGATGTGGGCCAGACCAGATCGCAGTTCCCTTTCCTAAAGGAAATCAGCAAACCAGACCAGCTGACAATGGTCCTCATTCAACTTCTGATTCCAAATTTATCAAATTCAAATTCCACCATATACCGTGGTGTTTTTCCAACCTCAAACATTACCTGGGTCTCAGGGTTACTAATCGAGCAACAATAACACTAGACCACTGCCTCCGAATGGAGAGCTACAGTCTTCTCTCTCTTTCATCCCGCTACCCTACTAGTCACAACATAAATATAAACATTTTGCCCAGTAACCAAAATGTCCAAACACATACTTTACATTAGATTCAGACCAAAACAAAGGGCCCATCAACTAGGCTGATTTAATGTGAAAACAGGGCTTATTTGGCAAAAGTATAAAGCTGATAAACACAGTTTGGAATAGGAAAGCATAAATATTTACCTAATTATTTACTTCCTGCACTCCGAATCACACACCAACTAAAAAGAAAAACAAACCGCTTCCTCTTCAGAGTTTACTTTTGGGGGAAAAGAGACACTTTGGCCAATAGCTTAATTATTGCAAAAAAAAACTATGGATAAAGTATGAAATGTTCAAGGTGGTTCTCATTTGGCGTTCTCACACACTAGGCAAGCAACACTAAACACAAGCATAAGTAAAAGATAACAAAGTGTGGAGCTGGAGGAACACAGCAGGCCAAGCAGCATCAGGGGAAGAAGAGTCCGAACCTGAAACGTCAGCTTTCCTGTTCCTCTAATGCTGCCTGGCCTACTGTGTTCCTCCAGCTCCACGCTTTGTTATCTCTGACTCCAGCATCTGCAGTTCTTGCTATCTCACTAAACACAAGCAGTTGTCACTGGGTCCTTTGCAGATTCAGTTCATCCAGAAATTGTCAAGAATTTAGAGGCCTTTCAGGTATCAGCTGCATAAGATCTTCCGTTCTCACATTGGAATATCCGGAAGGACTTTTTTCCAACCGAAAAGGTAGGGGGACGAGCTGGGTAGCTTTTCATTCAGCAGGCTGCACCCCAGCAGAAGTTTAAATAATATTCAAACCAAAGCTGTAAACCCAGATGTGCTTTCCAGTAAACAAGTCCAAGCAAGTACTTAAGTCATGTTACATCACTTCTTGTAAGTTACAAAGAGGGACTAATGTCCTTTCAAAAATAAAAGTCTAGGCATTTGGTCAGTTCTCCAAATTCACTGCCCACAAACCTGTAAACATTAAACCTCAAAGTTAATAATCAAATATCTTGATAATAGATAATCTGTGTTTTCGTTGTTTACAATGTGTTTAAAATTTTAATACTGGAATTCTGGTGACAAATATTTAGAGACTTTCACAGCACCAACAACTAAAATAAAATCTTTCTAAGGTGATAAACTTCTCTCATACACGTATATAGGAACATTGGTTATCAGCACTCTTGACTACGATTTACTGTGAAGGTGGGTGTCGCACATTTGTACCTGTAATAAGTAGGAAGATCCTCCCTACTGATGACACCTAATTTCCAATGAGAAAGATGAGTTGGAAGTGCTGAAGGATGCAAAGTTACTGCAAGCCTTTCATGGTAACGATCAACATCTTTTAAGGCCGCTGAAAAAAATTAGAGACAGATACATGTAGGAAAGTGGAGATGCATTTGAGTCAACAACTTCCCCTCACCCCCCAAAACAAAAAGACTTTCAATACCTCTTATGAGATCTCCTACTTGGAAGTAAGACATAGGATCTTCATGTTTGCCATGTGAAGGAACATCTCTTATGGGGCAAAGTGCCTGTAATAATTTAACATGTAATTAATATATTGTTCAATTTTCTTTGCATATACTAAAAATTTGTTTTGGGCAAATTAAAAGATTATTTGGTTAACTTAAAGGTCAGTTCTGAGGCTTCAAATATTTGAATCTTTGTGAAGAAAACTCAGTTAATTGTAGGCCAGGGAGTAATAAATTTTGGATGGACATTATACAGTAGACAAAAATGAGAAGCCTCAGCATGACTTGGCTAATTCACTTTGGGTTGTGCTGCTCAAAAGCTGAGGTAGTCATTAAAAAAAAAAGAGAGAGAATTGTGTCTTCATATTTCTTTTATATTTCCAGTTGTTTACAAAAGAAACTGACTAATTTTCAATGCAAGCTTTATTATTTTTCAGACAGCAAATCTGGCAACATCATTTTGAAAATTCTCTTACCCCTCAAGTATTTACATTTATAACTTATTTATTTGGATAATTTCAAAATATTTTAATTATTTCTGACAATAACCCATGTTATAATATCTTACTGTTATTTCCAATGATTCAATGTCTCGTACAAGGTCTCCTCCAAGGCTGATCAACATTACAAAGAACCCGAAATCACGGATGGATGTAACTCGTCCAATCACTATATCCCCACGTTCTATATCACGGAAAAAGTATTGTCTTTTGTCATCACTTGGAACTTCCATCAGCTGCTCTATAGGAGGCATAATTGCGTAATAGTCTACAAAAGAAAACAGGATTTCAGGATATAGAGGAGAGCTTGGGGTTCTATCATAATAAAAACGTAACCATAGTAGTGTGTAAACCATTTTAAGCGATAATAGAACATATAACATAGAACAGTACAGGCCCATGATGTTGTGCCAAACTTTTACCCTAATCCTAAGGTCTATCTAACCTCCACCCCTACATTATACTATCATCCATATGCCTATCTAATAGCCTCTTAAATGCCCCTAATGAGGCCGACTCCACTACCCTCTCCGGCAATGCAGTCCACGCCCCTACCACTCTCAGTCAAGAACCTACCTCTGATGTCTCCCCGATATCTACGTCCACTCACTTTAAAACTATGCCCCCTCATAATAGCTACCTCCACCCTAGGAAAAAGAGTAGACAGCCAGAGACTATCTATACCTCTGATCATTTTGTACACCTCTATCAAGTCACCTCTCATCCTTCGTCGTTCTAAAGAGGAAAGCCCTAGTTCTCTCAACCTTTCCTTGTAAGACCTTCCCTCCATTCCAGGCAACATCCTGGTAAATATCCTCTGCACCTTTTCCAACGCCTCCACATCTTTCCTGTAATGAGGCGACCAGAACTGGACACAATACTCCAGATTGTGGCCGAACCAGGCTTTTGTATAGCTGGAGCATAACTTCACGGCTCTTGAACTCAATCCCTCTATTAATGAAAGTTAACACACCATATGCCTTCTTAACAACTCTATCCACTTGGGTGGCAGCTTTCAGGGAACTGTGAACATGAACCCCAAGATCCCTCTGCTCCTCCACACTGCCAAGAATCTTTCCGTTAACCCCGTATTCTGCTTTCAAGTTCGTCCTTCCAAAATGAATCACCTCACACTTTTCAGGGTTAAACTCCATCTGCCACTTCTCAGTCCAGCTCTGCATCCTATCAATGTCCCTTTGTAACCTAGAACAGCCCTCCGCACTGTCCACAACTCGACCCACCTTCGTATCGTCAATAATGAGCACAACATTTATTTCAAATGCTGAAATTCAAATATTGATTAACATTCTAATTCTAAATAATTACAGTAACTGCTCAATCCACCTTGTTTCACTTCTCTTCAGGTTACTTAAGAATGACAAAATGCAATTGAGACATTTTATATCTTAGTGTAGAAGGGGCCATTTTAGGACTAGATCATATTGTTTTAGAGCAAGCCGTACTGCTTTAATCATGAGTAATTACCAGATATCCAAGAGTAATTTCCATTCAAACAGGAAGGAAATAAACAACTAACTTTCATATTGCACCTTTCACAACCTCAACTTTTCCTTTCGTACATGATTATACTTTAGGCTGCAATTTACAGCCAATGAGGTACACAAGTGTAGTCACTATTGCAATGTAAAATATATGGCAGCTAGTTTGCACACAGAAGAGTCCAAAATCAGCAACTAAATAAATGACCTGATTATCTGTTTTAAACGTTGGCCAAGGAACGAATATCGACCGTAACTTTCCTGGTCTTCTGGAAGTTTTTTTTCTTTATTCATTCATGGGGTGAGGCCGTCACTGGCTAGGCAGCATTCATTGCCCAGCGGGCAGCTAAGAGTCAACCACATTGTTGTGGGTCTGGAGTCATATGTAGGCCAGGTAAGGATGACAGATTTTTTCCCTAAAGGGCATTAGTGAACCAGATGGAGTTTTTTCTGACAATGGAACATGGTCATCATGAGACACTTAATTCCAGATTTTTTTTTTTTTTAAATTGAATTCAAATTCCACATCTGTCATGGGGGGGATTTGAACCCAGGCTCCTTGAACATTATCTGGGTGTCTGGATTAACAGTCCAGTAATAATACCATTAAGCCATCACCTCCCTCAAACCCCCGACCACCCCATTGCCATGTAATCTTTTATGTCCAATTGACATCGCAATTATCTTTTTTGAAAGTTTGCACCTCTAAAATGTTAGCTAACATTATGTGCTCAAGTTTCTGAAATGGGTATGGAATCCTGAACTTGCTCTTAAAGGTGATTTCAGAATGTTGTTACAATAACCTGCCATTTGCCTCAAGACAGTAAAGGCAAAGGTATAACTTCCTTCAATTAAAAAGTCACGCAGTATCTAGAAGGAGGTGAGCTAAAGAATAATAATCCTTTGGAAAATTTTAGTTGGAAAAATTAATTAAGATATTAATCTAATTGGTATGCATTTTTTTACACAAAATTGAAGAAATATTCTAAATGTTTAAACTTTAAGAAAAGTTTAAGAAATATGAAAAAGAACACTGGTATAGATAACTTCATGCACTTGTTATATGATCACCACCTTCAGTCTCTTCATCATTCAAATCAGTGCTGGCCATTGACTTCCATGTTGGAGCGAAGAGAAGGTCTGCTTTTCTTGCAACAAATTGCTGTATAGCAATATTATCACTTCTTCTAGCCTTTCTGTAAAACAATAGTACAGCTCATTGAAAACAATTGATCTCTATATTATGATGTGGTCCAATTATCCACAATAATTTATAATTGGTGTACTGTGAAATTCAAACTGATTTAGATCAACAATTTCATTGGAAAAATTAACCTAAGTGCTTGCATACAAAACATCAAAACTATTTTATATGTAACCTTAAGCTGCATTAAATAATGCTTCAGCATGTGATCATAATTCTACTAGTTTTAACATTGTTATGGAAGAGGATAGACCTGATCCAAAAATTGAAGCTATAAATTGGAGTGAGGCCAATTTTGACTGTATTGGGCAAGAACTTTCAAAAGATGATTGGGTGAGGCTATTCAGAGGTAAAAGGGATGAGTGGAAAGTGGGAGGCTTTTAAAAGTGAGACAACATGAGTCCAGAGACAGTGTTGTTCCTGTTAGTATGAAGGGCAACGTTGGTAGGTGTAGGGAATGCTGGATAACGAGAGAATTTGAGGCTCTGGTCAAGGGAAAAAAAGAGGCAGCACATGTCAGGTATAGACACCTACGATTGAGCAAATGCCCAGAGGAGAATTAGGGCAGTAGATGTTTAGTCAGAAGGGAAATCAAGCGGGCAAAAAGGGGTCATGAGATAGCTTTGGCAAATAGGGTTAAAGAGATTTGACAAATACATTAAGGACAAAAGAGCAACTAGGGAAAGAATAGGTCCCCTTGAAAATCAACAGTCATATATGTGCAGAATTACAGGAGATAGGTGAGATTCTAAACGAGTATTTTGAGTCAGTATTTACTGTGAAGAAGGATATTGAAGCAAGGCAAGTTGGAGAAATAAACTGGTATCTTTAAAAGTGTCCATATTACAGACAGGAGATGCTGGAGGTCTTAAAACACAAACATGCATATATCTGCGGGACCTGATGGGGTGTATGCAGAACTTTGTGGGAAGCTAGGGAAGTGATTGGTGGGCCCACTGCTGAGATATTTGTATCACTGATAGCCACGGGTGAGGCGCCAGAAGACTGGAGGTTGGCTAATGTGGTGCCATTATTTAACAAAGGTAGTAAGGAAAAGCCAAGGAACAACAGACCAGTGAGCCTGACATCAGTGGTGGCTACATTGTTGGATGAGAGTCTGAGGGACAGGATTAACATGTATGTAGAAAGGCAAGGACTGATTATGGATAGTCAACATGGCTTTGTGCATGGGAAACTGTGTTTCCCTAACTTTTTTTTTGGAAGAAATGATAAAGAAGATTGATCAAGGCACAGCAGTAGATATTATCGATACGGATGTCAGCAACGTATTCAACAAGATTCTGCATGTTAGACTGATTAATAAGGTTACATCACATGGAATCCAGGGAGACCTAGCCAATTGGATAAAAATTTGACTCGAGGGTAGGAGACAGAGGGTGGTGAGGACGGTTGCTTTTCGGACTGGAGGTTTGTGATCAACAGTGTGCCACAAAGATTGGTGCTGGGTCCACTGCTTTTTCTCATTTATATAAATAACTTGAATGTGAATATGGGAGGTACGATTAGTAAGTTTGCAGATAACACTAAAATAGGTGTAGCGGACAGTGAAGAAGCTAACCTCAGAACAGAACGGAACCTTGATCAGATTGGCCAAGGAGTAGCACATAGGGTTTAATTTAGATAAATGTGAGGTGTGCATTTTGGTAGGGAAAATCAGGGAAGGACATATATACTTAATAGCAGGGTTCTGGGGAGTGCTACTGAACAAAGAAACCTTGGAGTACAGGCTTGTAGTTCCTTGGAAATGGAGTTCCAGGTAAACAGGGTAGTGAAGGCGGCTTTTGGAACACTTGACTTTATCAATCAGTGCACTGAGTATAAGAGTTGAGAGGTCATGTTGTGGCTGTACAGAACATTAGTTAGGCCACTTTTAGAATACTGCGTTCAATTCTGGTCTCCCTGTTATAGGAAAGATGTTGTTAAACTTGAAAGGGTTCAGAAAAGATTTACAAGGACGTTGCCCGGTTGGAGATAGCAAGAATTGCAGATCCTGGAGTCAGAGTCAATACAGTGTGGAGCTTGAGGTCAGGCAGTGACAGAGCAGCAGGAGAGTCAACGTTTCATGTCGGGACCCTTCATCAGTCCTCAGCTCCAGGACTGATGAAGGGTCCTGACCTGAAACATTGACTCTCCTGCTCCTCTGATGCTGCCTGACTGCTGTGTTCCTCCAGCTCCACGCTGTACTGACGTTGCCGAGGTTGGAGGGTTTGGGCTATAGGGAGAGGCTGAATAGGCTGGGGTATTTTCCCCTGCAGTGTCAGGGGTGACCTTATAGAAGTTTATAAAATCATGAGGGGAATGAATAGAGTGAATAGCCGAGGTCTTTTTCCTGGGGTAGAGGAGTCCAAAACTAAATGGCATAGATTTAAGTTGAGAAGGGAAAGATTTAGAAGGGACCTAAGGGGAAACTTTTTCATGCAGAGAGTGGTACGTGTATAGCATGAGCTGCCAGAGGAAGTGGTAGAGGCTGGTACAATTACAATATTTAAAAGAGGCATCTGGATGGGTAGATGATTTGGAAGGGTTTAGAGGGAAATGGACAAATACTGGCAAATGGAACTAGATTACTTTAGGATGTCTCATTGGCATGGATAAGTTGGATAAAAGGGTTTCTTTCCAAACTGTACAACTGTCTGACTCTATTTTGTACACCAATGGTTTTTCAATATGGAGGATACCATTTATTATCAAGCAACAAAAACTGTTCTACCATTACAAGGATGCACCAGCTCAGTTGATTCTTTTTCATTACTCATAAATGAAGCTACAAACAAGTCATTAGTAAGGTTTGTTGATGCATTTATTAAATTATTCAAATGTAGATATTTCCTTTCAAAAGATGCAGAGTGCATCAGCAGCTTCTAAACGATGATGTCCAACATCTGCTTTTCGACTAGCATCTAATTCACTGCCATTTCTCTTCTATGAATGCCTTTGAAGTTCTACTCTTCCTTCCTACAAGATTTCTCTCTCTCAACCAGGAGACCTTTTATTGCTTTCAACTTCTTTTCTTGTGTTTGTTCAGGCATATCTGTTTTTACCTTGTCTCACCCACCCCTTACTCAAAATATATTATATTTCCAACTGTTCCCAGCTCTGATTTTAAAAAAAGCATTCAATCAAAACATTAATCCTGTTTTTCTCTCCATAAATGTTGTCCACCTGAGTATTTTCAAAATTGTCCACTTTTATTTGAGAGATTTTCAGTATCTGCATTATTTGTTTTTCAAAGTTTAATTCACAGTTTTGTTCAATGCTTTCAAATCTTGCGATCTGTGGAACATCTTGTAAATATTGAGACAGCAGCAACCACCCAAAGGAAATAGCACTTTCATCAACGAATCTGCTTCCATTAGTATGCAAAGATAACACACGCATAAAAAGCACAGAAAAACTCAAAAGCTTAAGGATTTGGAGCACCATCTAGGGTCCAAGTCTTCGAATTCTGAAACATAGCCTATAATGTGCGATTTAGTCACTTTAAAAGGTCCTCGAGATATTTCAGCAACAATCTGTACCTGACAACCTAAATATATTAAAAAATTGTACAACTAAGTCAGGCAAAGTCAAAAGATTTACACTTTTAGGACAGAAAAGGATCCAAAGTGGTTCTAGTTTTACCAATAGGATAATAGCATGCTACAGTTTTCAATGATTTTGCTTGAGTTAAGTCTGACCTACTTTACACAATAGTGAAATCTCATAAATGGCTAAGGAAAATGCGTAACCAAGGAATAATTGCTGCAAAATAGCTGGAAAGACAATAGAATATAAGATTAGCTGGTGTGAGGAAATCTTCCTTGGCTTTAATCGTGGTGATAATATTATATAGAACAGCAATATTTATAAAGAAATAGTAGTTACCAACTTTGAGTTTAAGGAGGTATGACAGGAAGTATTTGGAAAATTAATATACATCATCAAGGCTGACCTAATCCATGAAAACCACTTTCTGCTCCCATTATCCCATTCAATGACCAAGCTCCAGAGTACTTCTGGCTCTCATATTAAATGCTGGCCCCTCCTCAGGTACAGTACTTTTCTCCTTTTCAAACTGCTGTCACATTCTGCCTCTGCATCAGTCCACTTCTAAACGTTAAATTCCGGATTCCTCTCACCTTGCAGATTCCAATATCTATACTTCTCTCCCATATCCATTTGTACCTTTCCACTCGGGTTTCAGCACTACCACAACATTAGACCCAAATGTAATATTCTCATGATTGAGGCCGTGGTATACCATCCCCCAATATTTCTGCAACTTTGACACACAGTCATGCATATAATTTTCTAACACCTTTCCATAATCCAGTTGGGAGGGATAATCCTCAGGTTTATTACGTTTCTAATCACTGTAACAGCATCTTTCACTCCTGTATGGATAATCCAATACTTTTAAGTGGCAATACAAAAAGCTTTTAGTACCTCACTAGGAAATCCAGGCCCTTGCTCTCTATTAAGATAGTTAAGGCATTGACAATTTAATGTACATCAATTTAGCACCCTTTTCAAACAAAAGCACACCTTTACAATGCATTCCCTTCACGGGTAGTTAGGGATGAACAATAAATGCTGGCCAAATTAACACACCCGTATCCATTTGAAAACAAAAGTCCTTTCTTTAATGAAGCTTAAATTCATACCTGCAATCTGAATTACCTTAACCCACCTCCAGATGAGATATTCAACTTTGTTCTTGTCACCTCAAAACCTGACTATATCAGAGCACTCTCGTGGCATCTCAACTTTTCAAATTCAAGTTCATTCAGAATTCTGCTGACTACATTGGCAACAATTCAAAATCCCACTACTACGTTCTCTTCATCATCTCTGTAACTTCCAACAGAAATACAAAGCAAGTACAAACTCTATTCTTGAATTGTATTAAATCTTTGCATCATTCCACTGAAAATCATTGTTTAGATTTCATGCACTAACATTCTTTCTCTAAATTTGACTACTTGCTCTTCTCCTTTAAGACCTTCCCTATAATACAACTCAGATTAATCTTCCATTTACTCTTCCTAACTGTATCCTTTTCTTGGATTGGCGTTCACTTTTGATAAGCCCCTTGAGGTGGTTTGGGGTTAGCTACAATAAGTAGGTGCTATCCATTGTAAATTATTGCTGTTGACTGTTGTCAACTGGTGCAAGGCCAGAGAACTGATGATTAGTTGGTGGTGATGAGTATCTGTGTCTAAGTTTGAATAAAAAGAGGCATAGAAAGCAAATTAACCCACCAAAATGTGTAGTCTACAATTGAAAGATGATGTGCTATCCTAAAAAATCTAAAAAAATACTTTCATCTCAGAAAATGTTTGTTGTAAGTTAACTTCTGTTGAAGTTAATCACCAACAGCCCTTGGTAAAACCTCATCCAATAGCGTTTCAAAATTTTGAACATTCTGGTCCAGTTTGAGAAAATAGCTGGGGAGGAAGACCTAAATGGTAACTAGGGAATAAAGTTGGTGGAAATGAAAATGACAATGAATGGCTTGAGTGTTTCTGGTGCTTTATCGGCTTATTGGAGAAAATGTCAACTCACACATGCAGGGCTGCATGTCCAGCAGAACAACTAAGAGAGGTGTTAGCTGCTGCCAGGACTCATCTGGTGATTGAAACCATGTCCTTGGATGATAGATAGCATACAGATGGAAAATAAGAGGGGGCCAAAGATGGATTTTGGGGGACTCAAAGTAAGAGTGCAAAAAGAGAACTCATTACAGGTAATTCTTTGGTCATGACTGGAATGATGAGAATGCGACTAGGCACAGTTTTACAGAAACATCAGATCAACTGTCAGCGAATGCTGTCAAGTTACAAAAGATTAAGGGGCTTAAGTAATCATAGTCATCGTCAAAGTATGTGACTTGTGATGAATTCGGGAGGCAACACATGCAAGGATTTTTAAGAGGAAAGGGAAGCTATTAATGAAATTTGCAAGAACACAAAGTCAAGGTTTATCCCCCAGGTGTGAATCACACTTCATCTTAACTGCATGCCAAGTCTTTATTCCCTTTAACGCTTTCACTTTAATGTCAGTAAAGTAATGGACCTGTTGGCGTCAAGTGTCATAAGATTTGCTTGAGAGCAGTTTTTCTTTAATAGAGTGGCTTATTGCCACTCTGAATTTGAGCTCTTTTGACTAATTTTGAACGCTCCACTAATGGTACTTATGAACAGTTCATACTTAACACAGGAGCTCAGGAAGAGAGGGAGAACATTGATTGCACTGAGACATCGAGACGAATGTTGCAAAATTGAGCAATTGAAAGATTTATAAGGTGAGAGGACAGAGATTTAAAAAAGACATGAGGGGCAATTTTTTTTTTTTTACTCAGTGGGTGGTTCACCTGTGGAATGAACTTCCTGAGGAAGTGGTGACGCGGGCACAATTAACATTTAAAAGACATTTGGATAAGTACATGAATAGGAAGATTTGGAGAGATATGGGCCAGGAGCAGGCAGGCAGGACTAGATGAGTTTGGAATTATGTTTGGCATGGACTGATTGGACCAAAGGGTCCATTTCCATGCTGTATGACTCTATGAACTCAGAGATATAATAGTCACGAGTCCGAGTTCCAGCCGCAAGAGCATATCTGCTACAACAACGGAAACGCACAAGAAAACTTATCACATGTACGAAATTTTGTCAAGCATCAGCAAGAGTGTATTAATGTGAGAATGGATAAGGCTTTGCACTTTGCGGAGGGAAGTCCAGGCCTATCAAGAAAAACTTCCAGAAGGGCCAACAGGAAAATCAAGGCCAAAGTACAAGACTTACACATGAAGGAAAAAGAAACATGTCCTGCACGAGAGCAGTGATGCTCCAACTGCAAGCAATCAGTGTGAAAGACAACTAAAGGAAAAGATTGCACAATCCATTTGGTATTTCTAGTGCTTCAAAAGTGCATCTATGCAGACAGAATGAGATAGTCAATAATCTTCCTGGAATTTAAGTGATTGTAGATAATCTAATTCATCAACTTCGAAATCTGAGGAAGAAGCCATCGCAGGCTACGTACTGAATCTAATGTGACTGATAGAGACAGCTCATCAGATGAACTTGAAGTTCAATGGCAGAAAAATTACAACTGAATACAGTGACAGTAAAAAGACTTCAACCTAATCCTGACAAGGTGAGCTATAGCAGAGATGCACCAACCAATACATATGAAAATAGTGTAAAGATGCAAAGAATGTTAAGTGATACTGGGGTTTAGTAGAAACAGCTTTCACTCTCAAACTGCAGATAACAATGCTAATGCTTAGCTACTAAAATGTTAAAGAAGTTACTCTGCAGCGTGATGTTAGAAACAACTCTCATACAGTAAGGATTGTTGTGTGTTTAATGTCCTAGATGCCAATACAAATCAAACATTCCCTGCAGCCAGAGAAGGAACATCATCCCAAGAACGAGCAAATAATAGATTAACATCTTATAATTCACACAAATACCATTAGGTTAACCGAACATCTAAAGATTGTGTGCGACACACAAAAATAAGAGACTAGAATAAGTAATGGTAGGTCCTTCCCTTGAGTTTTTTCTCGTTCACTACTGACTCACGTATGCTGAAATAGCCCTTTAATTATCTGCCACTGCACTAGTATTGATCATCAACCCAATTTGCTAGTTCACTTTAGCTAGCGCTGCTTTCATGTTCCTACATTTGCCTTTAAGGTTAAAATATGGGTCGTTACATCCAATCTTCTCTGACTAAAACTGAATGTATAATTCAATCATGTTATGATTGCTGCTACCTAGGTGCACCTTCACTAGAAAGACATTAATTAATCCTATCTTGTACAATACCAGGTCAAGAAGAGTGGTTCTGTTTGGTTCCAGAACATTCTCCGTAAAACACTAGCCCACAATCTATGAACTCCTCACTAGAATTCTTTGCTGATATTTCCAGTCTATATGCAGATTAAAATCCGATGATTATCCTCTACTTTTCTCCTTACTGAACAATGTCAATAAACCTAATTATACTGCTTCCCACAATCGTTACATTCCTTTTTGCACCCCCACTTGAATTGATCCTTATAGCACAGTGCCATGGTCAGCTAGTTCAACCATCCTGAAGAGTTCACTCATCCAAAGACCCTCAAATATGTTGGATAATTGCAACAATTGAAGCTCCTGCACTCTAGATTCCCTACCTGCCTCACATTGTCAAAGTCTTTTCTTTGACCCAAACAAATGCTAGGTAATTTTGCCCTTCCCTGCTCAAACTCTCAGCCAAAGCCACTCAAGCTGCAAACTGCAGCGGTTTGTGCTCTGGATCACAAGTATTCAGGAGATCCGCAATTGTGTTTTAATTGAAAGGGTAGAATTTCCTTTGTTTTATATATGTTATTAACTCTACCACCAGTTCCTCTACTGTTTTAAATCTTAGGAATAAAGCAGAATTTAACTTCTTAGTGAGTGAGAGCAGGGCCCTTTGCTAGACAACACAGTGTAGAGCTGGATGAACACAGCAGGCCAAGCAGCATCAGAGGAGCAGGAAAGCTGACGTTTCGGGTCGAGACCTTTGCTAGACAGCTTGTTTGCGATGTAGTGATGCCAACAGTGCAGGTTCAATTCCCACTCCGGCTGAGGTTACCCTGAAGTACTCTCCTTCTCAACACCACCCCACTAACCGATCACCTCCCCGAGGGCAGTGACGCAAGTTAAACCACCACCATTTGTCTCTGTAATCAGACAGTAGCATTATGATCCGGTAGGACTATGGAAACTTTAAAAACTTACTAAATCAGCCAAACGTCAACATTACTTCTCCTCGTAAACATATTTTGTAGCCAGTCTCTGGGTTACTGGATCTATTTATGTACTTGACAAAGCAAGGGGTCCCAAATAATCATGAAGAAACCCTTGTGACATGGTGGTAATGTTCCTACCTCGGAGACAGGACGTCCAGGTTCAACTCCTATCTGCCCTAGAGGTGTGCCATAACGTCTCTGAACAGGTTGATTAGAAAGTACATGAAACATTTTTCATCGTTTCTACTAATACACGTCAACTTTCCAATTGTGTCACACAGCCCTATCTGGACGATGTGTTTTTTTTCTTAGATAGTAGTTCAGTACTAGAAAAAGTTAAAACTTTTCTGAATGCAGGCCAACTTAACGGCAAAAAAATGACGAGTCAAATTTATGCGGATACAGTATTGACCTGGACTCGCAAACCTATTACCATAGTCTGTCGTTCACTGTAATAGGTCATATTCTAAAATAAAAAAAATTAATCCCACAAGATTGAGCGATAAGCGAACAGCTGTGGACGATCACAAAGGCTATCACGAAGTAAAATTTGATGCTGCGCGACCATGACGAGTCCTTACAACAAATAGGCACAAAATAAATAGACACAGGCCTACAGGGGGTTCATTTTGGGTGATTGGCACTTTATGTGGCAGCTGAGTTATGGATGACAGTGAAGGATTCCCTGCAAAACTGCTGGCTAAAGTAGGCGAGGATGATGGTAAAGCTTAGTTAAGCCGAGACCGTATACCTGTGATGAATTGCTGTTTTCAGGAACTCGGTCGAAATGCTCTGAATGTCTGGGTTCTCGTATTGTTCACTTTTCAAAAGGGATAACAAGGCGGGCCCGTGATAACCCACCGATTGTCGCATGAGGTCCTTGTTCATATTCAGGAGAAATTTAATTCCCGCTGACCAGACTCAATAACATACTGCCTCCAGAAGTTTGCTGAGATGAAGTGAGAGTTGCCACATTGAACAGACAGGTGAAATCCGGTAGACATTTCACTCAGCGTCAGAAGCACAACACACGCCTGCGCACTCACCGCCGTTGGCCTCCAGTCACCGCATGCGCATTTCCTCCCTGCTGCTGCAGCTGCTGCTTCCATCTGAGTTTGCGCGCAGTAAATTTCCCTCCTCCCCCACCCACCTCGGGCAAGCATTGTATGGCTGATATTTGTTGTCCATTCCAAAGTGAGACACTTTCTTAGACATCTATAGGCCATATGTTTCAGTTATATTTATTGTGCTGTGAGGAAAAGTTCCAGGATGTTAACCTGATAACAATGAAGGAATGGCTACTCAGGATAGTGTATGACTTGGAGGGGACCTTGCAGTGCTGTGCCCTCCAATACAAAGACTTCACCTGACAGTGCAGTCCTCCCTCAGTACTGCATCAGGGTGTCAGACTGGATATTATTCTATGCTCAAGTCATAAAGTGAGATTTGAACCCCCAAACTGACAACAAGTCCATAGGTGAGAGAAGATGGTGGGGGGAAAGAATGATACAGGATGGCTAATGAGGGAAAGTATCCTATGTGTGTTCTGAACCACCTTGTCAAACTGTCATGCACTCCTCATGAATTTGTCAATGTGCACTTGAAAATTCCTCTGATCTTCTCAAATTCTTCACCTTATTCTTAGGTAGTCTCTTGGGCTCAAGGATGACTTTCAGCCACTCCACTTGTGACTAAGGTCAAATACTGGATCCACAAACACTGCCACAGGTGTGCAGGTGGTGTTGCAAAAGTGGATGGACAGGACACTTGCATGTTCACACACACCTTGCATTGTCTGCCTGTAGAATACATTTGAAACAGTTGTGTTATGATCCCAGCTGATGACAATACTGGGTGAGTCAGATCCAAGAATGAAACCTGGCTTGATTCATAGATTCATACAAAACAGAAAAGGCCCTGTGGCCCATCAGGTCTGCACCGACATAACTACCAGTAAAGGTGACCTAATCCCAATTGCCAGCATTTGTCCCACATCCTTGAATGTTATGATTTTTCAAGTGCTCATCAAAATATTTTTTGAAGGTTGTAAGGTTTCCGGCCTCCACTACCTTCCCAGACTGTGTATTCCAGATTCTCACCACCCAGTGAGTGAAAAAGGTTTTTCCCAAATCCCCTCTGAATCTCCTGCCCCTTACCCTAACACAATGCCCTCTCATGATTGACCACTCAACAAGGGGACCAACAGCTGCTCTCTATTCACTCTGTCAATACCCCTCATAATCGTATATACCTCAGTCATGAACCCCTCAGTCTTCTCTGCTCTAAAGAAAACAATCCAAGCCTATCTAGTCCCTCCCTATAGTTCAATTTTTGCATCCCAGGCAACATCCTGGTGAACCTTCTCTGTACCCTTCCAGTGCCATCACAACGTTCCTGTAGTGAGGTCATCAGAACTGCACACAATACTCCAGCTGTGGCCTCGTCAAAGCTTTGTACAACTCCAACATTACCTCATTGTTCTTCTACTCTATGCCACAACTGATGAAAGCAAGTGTCCCATATGCCTCCTTAATTATCCTACTCACTTGCTCTGCTGACTTCAAAGCTCTGTGAATAATTACCCCAATGTCCCTCTGTTCCTCTAAGCTACCCAGGGTCCTGCCATTCATTAAATACTCGCCTATCTTGTTTCTTCTTCCAAAATGCATCACCTCGCAGTAATCAAGGTTAAATACCATCTGCCACTGGCCTGCCCATCTGACCAACCCATCTATAATTTGTTGTAACCTACAACCATCGACTTCACTATCAACCACTCTACCAATCTTGGTGTCGTCTGCAAATGTGCTTAACATTCCCCCATATTTTCATCTGAATCATTTATATATATATTATATATAATATAAAACAAACAGTAAGGGTCCCAGTACTGATCTTTGTTGTACACTGCTAGACACAGGTCTCTTGTCACTGAAGCAGCCTTCTACCACTACCCTTTGTATCCTGTTACTTGGCCAGTTTCTGATCCATCTCGCCAAGTTTCCCTGAATTCCACGCGCTTTAACCTTCTCAGTCTCCCATGTAGGACCTTGTCAAAACCTTTGCTAAGTTCCATATAAACCACATCAACTGGACTTCCCTCATTCACACACTTGATCACATTTTCATAAACTTCTAACACATTTATTAGGCATGACCTCCCTCTGACAAAGCCATGCTGACTCGCCCTAATTAATCTTTCGAAGTAGGTATTAACTCAATCCTTCAAAATTTTCTCCAATAGTTTCTGTACCATTGACGTGAGACTCACCGGTCTGCAATTTCCTGGTTCATCTTTATCACCCTTCTTGAAAAGTAGAACTACATTAGCCATCCTCCAGTTTTCTGGCACTTCCACCGGGGTCAGAGAGGAATTAAAAATTTGTGTCAGAGCCCCTGCATTTTTCCTGCCTTGCTTCCCACAGCAGTCTGGGAACTGTGTGGGAAGTTCATCCAGGACAGCGGATTTGTCTGTTTTTATTCTGACAGAGCCTCCAATACCTCCCCATTTCCTATGTCAATCTGTGCAAGTTCCTCACAGTCCGTTTTCCTGAATTCCATACCTACATTTTCCTTTTCCAGAGTGAACACTAAAGGGAAGTATTCATTTAACACCTTTCTAATATCTTGCAGTCTCACACCCAGGTAGCCCCCTTGTTCTCTAATAGGCCTTACTGTTTCCCTGGTTAATCTCTTCCCTTTAATGTATTTGTAAAATACTTTGGGATTGTCCCTAATCCTGTTCACAAGTCCTTTTTCATGACACCTTTTTGCTCTTCTAATTGCTTTCTTAAGTTCCCTACTGCATTTCCTGTATTCCTCTATGGCTGCAACTGAATTGCTCCCTTTGGAGTTGCTCAAAGCCCTTCTCTTCTTCCTATACAGTCCTGAACTTTCCGAGACATCCAGGGTTCTCCAAATTTATTGCTCCTACATTTCCTTCCAAAGGGTATATGTTGGACCTGTATTCTCCCCAGCTCCTTTTCGAATGCCCCACCATTGCTCCATTGTAGACTTACCTGCAAAGATCTGTTCCCAGTCAACTGTGGCCAAATCCTGTTTTATTTTAATAAAATCTGCTTTTGCAGGCCATCTTCTTTCTTGTCCAGAACAAATTTGAATTGTACTTCGCTATTGCTAAAATGTTCCTCTACTGCCAAATCAAACACTTGTCAGGCTTCTTTTCACAGAACCAGATCCAGTACTGTGCTGTCTCTTGTTGGACCTTCTACGTATTGATACAAAAAACTCCCCTGGATACTTTTCAAGAAATCCGCCCCCTCTAAAGCCTTAACACTACGACGATCCCAATTTATGTTGGATAAGTTGAAATCCCCTAGCATAGTTACCGATTATTACTCTTACATACCTCTGTGAACTGTCTTCATATTTGCTCCTCTATTTCCCACTGACTCTTTGGAAGCCTATTACACACTCCCAGTAAAGTGGCTGCCCTCTTAATGTTCCTAAGTTCTACTCACAAAGCCTTGTTTGAGGACCTTTCCAAGACATTATCTCTCCCTATTGTGATAATTGACTCCTTAATTAATAGTGCAGCACCACCATGCTTTTTATACTATCCTCTGTCTTGCCTATCCAGAATGTTGAGTTGCCAGTCCAGCCCTTCCCTCATGTTTCTGTGATGGCAACAATATCATACTTCCATGTATCAACCCACGCCATTAACTCATCAGTCTTATCTGTTACTCTCCTCACATTAATGTAAAGACCAATCCAGCCATACCTTACTCTCTTGATGCTCAACATAGCTGAACTCATTGTGACATGCTTCCTTTGCTGTAGCATGATGTATTTCTGTTTCATTGATATTCTGTGTCCCCTCCCCCTGCCAGACTAGTTTAAATGCCTCCCAACAGCACTAGCAAACCTACCTGCAAGGATGACAGCGGGTAAGGCAACATCAGTGAGAAAAAGCAAGCCAACATTTTGTGTCTAGATGACTCTTTATCAGAGCTCTGATGAAGAGTCATCTCGACTTGAAACATTAGCTGGTTTTCTCTCCATGGATGCTGGCTGACCGGCTGTGATCTCTAGCATTTCTTGTTTTCAGTACAGATTCCAGCATCTGTAGTAATTTGCTCCCATCTGCAAGGATGTCGGTCCCAATATGATTCAGGTGCAGACCGTCCAATTTGTACATATCCCACCTTCCCCAAAAATGGTTCCAGTTTTGAGCCATGTATTCATTTGTCCTATTTTCCTATTTCTAGACTGGCTATCACATGGAACTAGGAGTAATCTAGAGATTACAACTATTGAGGTTCTGCTTTTTAATCTACTGCCTAGCTCCCTGACTTCTTGATGCAAGACCTCATTCCTCACTTTGCCCAACATTGGTACCAACGTGTACCACAATGTCTAACTCATCACCCTCCCCTTTCAGGATTCCCTGCAGTGAACATCCCAGACCCTGGCACCAGCGTAGCAACACACCTTCCTAGAGACACATCTTCGGCCACAGAAACATCTATCTGCTCCCCTGACTAAAGAATTCCCTATCACTAATTGCTGTTCCTTTCTTCTTCATCTCTATACAGTCAAGCAACTTGTCGTGTCAGAAGCTCGGCTCTGACTTCATTCCTTCAAGACAGCAGCACCCTTATCAGCTTTCAAAATGGAAAACCACTTAATGAATGGGACCCCAGGGGATTCCTGCTCTACCTGTCTGCTCTTTTTGGACTGAATGGTGGTCACCCATTCCCATTCTTCCTCTCGTCCCTTGAGCTGCAGTGTGACCACCTCCCTAAACATGTTATCAATGTAATGCACAGCCTTGTGGATGCGCCACAGTGTCTCCAACCACTGCTCAAGCTCCAACAGCCAGAACTCCAGCTTCTGCAGCTGCATACACTTCCTGCATGTGTTGTCATCTGGGACTCTGGCAGCATCCAGGACTCACCACATTCTGTACAATCTGCTTGGCTGGCTTGTTCTGACATCTCTTAAATATACAATTATTGCCTTAGATTAGAATTGTTAGACTTATTTTGTTAGATTTCCTACTCTTCCACTAAGTTTATGAAAAGGTTA